AATGTAATCATTTATATAATAATAGATTAGTACACAATTGTATGTCAACACATTATTTATTACCTTAAACTGCCTGGAATTTATTATTAAAGGGTTGCGCTTGCGTAAAATTTACTATCGTGGAAATTCAGCTTTTTTGCCTTTTGGCTAATCTCATCCCTGAACTCTAAAAAGTAGGGAAAGTTGCTATTTTTTCCTGGAAAATTCCTATATTATACCTGGAAAATAACCAGTCTTAGAATTTTCAGTAACAGTAAGCAGTAGAATTAACAGAGATTAGAGTTAAATAATTCTAACATCTACTATAATTATTTTATAAAATTCCACTTTTTAGTGAAACTTTTCCATGTTTCCATTCTCATTCTATTTTATGTTTTTGCTCAAGAAATCTAATATTTGGCGTTATAAATAAAATTTTAAAAAATGTTTTCTGATGAAAAATTGCATGGTATAGATTAAATATGGTACATATTTTCAATGAAATTTACCTGACATAACTGGAAAAGTCAGGGAATTTTTTTTTTCTGAAATTGAGTGTTAATCCTGAGTGATCATTAAATTTATTAAATTAATTAATTAGCTGTTAAAATTAAAAATAGTTTCTGCCCTTAAGTTAAAAATGCTCAAAACTATTACATATGTTGTAGAACAATTTATATTTGGAGTAATACTATCTACGTCCTTATCCTTTAAGAGTGATTTTTATCCAAATTGCAATGAGGATTTAATAATTTTTGTTCCATTATGTAGGCCTTTATACATAATTTGATGTTAAGCTAATTAAATTTCTTTGTTTTTAAACAAAATTAAATCATTTGCCATTTTAAAAAATGGAAATAACTCTACTAGCAAGATATGTTTATCTTTTTTGGACATAACCCGCAGAACATTTGTAGTTATCAAAATTTTTGTATCAGAACATTAGAAATCATTTTGCTTTTGATGACTTTCCTTTCTTATGTGGGAATAACCTGTTTTTATTTTTAATCTTAATGTTATTTAATATTTATTTGAAAATTACTATTATTATGGTTAAAAAATATTTTTTATTTGCTTTTTCTTGTTGTTTTTTCTTTATTACCGTTGAAAATCTCTGTATTCATGATTTTTAATATTCAAGAATCAAATTACTCTTTGAAAGAAGCCTAAAAGACAACTTGTTCAGAACACAAAATAAATTCTTTCTCTATATAACATGTGACCCACATTTTCACGTGCTGATTTAAACATGTATTATATTTAAGTTATATATTTTGTTATTCATTATTACTTAAACTTATTTCAGGTGATCCAATTGCCTTTCTATCCTGGTTTTTAAACAGTCTACATGCAGCTTTGAATGGAACTAAGAAAAGAAATAGCAGTGTTGTTTATTCCACTTTTCAAGGGGCCTTGAGAATTTATACTCGCACATTACTGCCTATTGATGCAGTAAGTAACTTTAAATTTGAAAGTATTTGGATACTTTGTAAGTGTGTACAATTCGTAGGTCAACTGATTATTGTTGGTTTAAATATGTATAGTTCATGTCGGAAAATTATCTGTTTTGTTGCAGGGTTTCTCAAACATTTGTTAATTGCAAACTTATTTGTGGAATTTTTTTCCCCAGAATTTTTAAACTTTTATTAGTCATTACCAAAAGTAAAAATTAAAATTGACTCCTGTTTATCCAAGCATTTTTTATTTGTGATACTCAACTTAACAAACTAAAACTTTTCCTGGACCGACTTGCATTTGAGAATTTGAAGGAAAAAATTAAATCAAATCTACATACTTTTTAGAAAACTAAATTGTTTTCATTATTACTTATTTATTTATTCTAAAAGTATAAAATTTAAAAAATTTAATTTTAAATTTTCTGTTATGGTGAATCTAATTGTGAAGATGAGAAAATTAATTACATTTTGAATGTGTTTTAAATATTTAATCTTAAACTTAAATTGCATTTTTCTCCAAAAAAAAAACTTTTTTTTTTCTATTTGGACAATTTTGGTTCAATCAACTGTTGAGACCGCTTTCTCTGTTGTCATTAATATCCCTTAATGGAAATGCCAAACGGTAAAATTTGTGGACACTATCCTGAACTTAGGATAAAATTTTAGATTATTCTGTAATTAAACTCATTTTCATTCTATATCCAATTTTAAATTAAGTAACTAGAAAAATTTTTTGTTGTCTGAATTGCTTATGTTTCAATTTAAAATTTCCCTACAATTTGAACAAAATGTAAATTTGTTAAAAAAAAAAATTTAAAATTTTTATTTTTTTTAAATGTCTTTCATATTGAATAAAATAATGGTTTCTGATCTGATAAAAAAAAAATTGCTATATTTAATGAAAATTATAACATAGAAATTTGTTAAAATTATCTAAGAAAAATCTTAAAATCTGTTTTCTGTATGTCTCTGTTTTCCTGTGAGCCTAGAAAGTATCTAGAAATTTACCATTTGGCAATTGTGATATAACAGTAGATAGCATTTGTTGGTAGCTAAAAATAGAATTATTATACTATTTTAACTTGTTTAACTATTTTGAAACTCCTGTTATAATGAGTTCCTTTTATTTGTATGTGAGTGTATTTGTATTTCTTTTATACTATTTCACTGATTATAGGAAAAATTCTACTTTTCCTTTAGACTGAAGAAGAAAAGCAGCAGTTGATGTTAGAAGAAGACTATGAAGGTACTTTTAAGTTTGTTTTAAAAAATAAAAACGAAAGAAACAATTTTTTTTTCAACTTTTATTTACTTATGAAAAATTTTAATTATTTGATACTTTTTAAAAATTTTCATTGTAATAATTTTAATCAGCTTAGTTTTTTAAAAAAAAGAACAATATCATTGATTGTACACTTTATTGTAATAATATTTTAAATATATACAGGGTATCCACGCACCTGGAAAGTCATGAATTTCTATATTGAACGAAATTTGTCATGGATTAAAGTCGTCGAAAAATCTAATTTTTAAAATGGAATTTACACCCCTCCCCTTCCAAATTCAGGGTGTTCCGAATATTTAAATTTGTAACAAAATCCCCATTCACAGTCATATTTTACTAAAATATAAAATATTTTTATCACGTTCTTTAAAAAAATATGCTGTTCTTTTAAAAAATGAAAGAAAAAACATCATTTCGAGAGCGAATTATCTTCTCAACTTCTGTGATTTCGGAATTTTTATTTTATCAATTTAAAATTCTATCTGAAGAAAGCCTGTCGTAGACAAATTTAATTCTGAAATGAGAATAGAAAAATTAGGAGTATTTCTTCTCTTTCCAAGCAGAGTATCTTTAGAATATAATCCTGCAGAAAAAAAAAGAAGAAAAAAATTATTTGCTTTTGTATGTTTTTCAGCTATTTTATTGCTTCAACTCTTCCTTTACTCTTTTCTAAATTTAATATCTATAAATATGAAGATGCAAAGTATAACAGTTTTGGTTACACCCATCATTTCAATTATTGTCATTATAATGCCTTTTTAAATTTATTGTTGTGTTTTTGTCGGAGAAAATAGTAACTTCGTTAAGTCATGAAAAATTCTTGGAATTAGTCATGAAAAGTCATGGATTTGAAAATCTAAAATGTGGCAAATACCTTGTATATATAAAAAAAATAATAAGATTTGGAATTTTATGTTGTTTTTACTTAAATGTTTGTTTTAAGAAAGTTATACAGAAAAACAAGATCTATCCTATAATAGTCTTATTGACTAAACTAGTATTGAAATTTATTGGTAACTTCTGTACCATAAAATATTTAAAAATTCAAAATAATAATAAATGATAAAAATGTTAAATAAAAAAGTGAAAATGAACTTTTCATAGTCATTTAATTGTCAAGTTGCTAGACACTATCGAACAAAAACTTTGCAAAGTACATGACACTTAGTGAAATTGCTTGTTGCCGTCTCTGAATGACTGTCATATTTCAAAATAACTGTTTTTGCTGAACGATTATCATTACCATCATTGAATTTTTATTTTTGAAATAGCTGATGTTTCCAAAAGTTATGTTTAAAAAATCGTGTAAGTCTTAAATTTTTTTAAGTTCCAAACCACTTTAAACTCTTTTATGTTGTACATGAATCAAGAAATTGTAGCTTCAAGGCACCCAGCAATCTGAAAATTTGAAAAACTTGTTAATATTACTTTTAAAGTTAAGCATGTGCTCTAAATTTTAAAACAAATATGTCCTTTGATATACCTCTAAACTATAAATTATACTAATATACTCAAGTAAAAGAAAACATATGTATTGGGTATATACTTGTCAAAATGTGTTATAAATTTTTTTTAAAAAAATTCCGTGTTATATACCGTATACCTCTAAACTATCAATTATACTAATATACTCAAGTAAAAGAAAACATATGATATTGGGTATATACTTGTCAAAATGTGTTATAAATTTTTTTTAAAAAAATTCCGTGTTATATTAAATAATATTTTTATTTTTAAAAAAAGTGTCTAAATTACATGATTTTTTTTCCCTTTTAAATTACTTCATTTGCATAAGTTGTCATATTTAACCTTTTTCTTACACTTGGCAATAGTAAGTTGATTAGAATAACACACATTAGTATTTTAAGTCAGTTCTTCTGATTAAAAAAGTTTATAAATTTCAAATTTTTTCTCCTGGGTAATGATTGACCAAACATTTTTCTTTACTTTCAGAAAAAGTTGAAGATACAACTTTCCTTTATTTGACTCTTGATTTGCCTCCACCACCATTGTTTAAAGATGAATTGACTGAAAACATAATTCCTCAAGTTCCACTCTTTAACATTCTTGCAAAGTTTAATGGTACGAATGAAAAAGAATATAAAACTTACAAGGATTCCAAAATGAAAAGATTTGAAGTTACAAGATTACCACCGTACTTGATTCTGTTCATTAAAGTAACTCTTTTTCATTTTTTACCTCTCTTAATGCATTTTTTTTTTTTTTTAAATTTATATTTCAAAAATAATGATGTATCTGTTTTAAAGAATATTTAAAAATTACTAATTTTTTAGTTTGTTACCATATTGCAGCTTCTAGTTATTTCATTTAGTAGTTTTTATTTGTTTATTGTATTTCTATTCATTTATTTTGTTTATTTATTTTCCTTTAGAGGTTTACAAAGAATACTTTCTTCATTGAAAAGAACAACACTATTGTTAACTTCCCGATTAAGTAAGTCTATTTTATATTGTTTTTTATGGTATTTTTGGTTTTTAGTATGTTTTTGTTAATATTAAATTGAAAATAAAGTATTTACCTTTATTTTGTTTGTTGTATCCCAGAATTAAAACCAATGCATTAACCCAAGAAAAAACCGCATTCGAAATATACAATTTCAAATAATATTTTTTCTTATAGCAGATGTATTTTTTGCCAATGAGAATCGTAATTAAATATATGGTTAATTCATTAAACAATATTATTAATATGCTCATATGTGTACATACTATTATCTTTTATCCGTTCCTTCAGTTGTCACTACAGCCAGCTAAAGATCAAGACTATATCTATTACAGATGTTATGGACCTACAGATCCGATATATCCTACAGATGTTATCGACCGCTTACAATTGACTTTAAATATCTTATGGTCTGCCTCTATGCAATCCATCTATCTTGAATTAGGTCTTCCTCTCTTTCTGATGCACTATACATTTGTTAAGGTTACCTTTTTAACAGGTTTGAGTTGATAAATCTGAAAATATGCCCAATTCATCTGATACGATAACAGGAATCCATTTACAAACCTAAGAAAATATAGTTCGCATTTTTAGCACTTGATAGAAATGGGTATTCTAACTTAGCTCCCTCGATGATGACATGCTATTGGCTTTTGAGCAGGGGAATGTTATTTGGTAGCAAACTTTCATTTTGCATTCTTGTTCATTATTTGTTGAAAAAATAAAAGGTATTGATATGGATATATATATTATAAACCCTCTGCTATCATCCTATTTCTTGGTGAATATAGTTCACAAGAGTTTCTGTAAAATATTTCTGTAAAGATAATATAAACTGTTATTTTAAATAAAATATCTATATTTCTAATCATACATAAACAAATTTTAAAATTACACGCTCTGTCAACAAGCCCAATAATTCTAGACTTTTGGAAAAGAGTAAAATTAAAATCGGAACATACTGACTGAACAGCTCTGATTTCAAGACATGTTTTAATCTTAATCTGTTCTTATTGATCTATACAATCAATGTTCTTTCTATCAACAATTTATTTATCTCTTTCATTTGCTAGAAATGTTGATTTCACCGAAATATTTCAACCTGAATTCAGAGACAAACAACCCAAAGCTATTTATGATCTCATTGCAAACATTGTTCATGATGGAGAACCCGGTTCCGGAAAGGGAACTTATCGTACACACATACTGCATAGAGTAAGTACAATTTGTATTTTTTTGAAACATGATATCTATTTTCATTATGAAGATTTTCAAACTTATATAATTTTATTCTATTTGTATCTGATAAAATACCTAAAATTATTTCAATTTTATGCTTACAAAAAAAAATCTAATTAGCTGGGTAGTGTAAAAAATATTTTTTTTATTTCGTTACAAAGTTGATTTTCTGAATCATTTATTTAAATCATTTGTTTGCCAATATAGTTTACCATCCAAGGATTTGAATTGATTTTATTTCCGGGAATTTCCAAAACATCTATAGATGAATTTATGACTTAGTGTTGGAAAATATTATTATTTAAGTATTTTACATTCATTTATAATTACAAATAATTTGTCATTAGTATTTTTTGTAGTTGTAAAAGTTATAGATGAAGTTGCTGTAATCTGTAATGTAGAGCTTCTTTTATTTATTCTTACCTATTTATTATTTAATAGTTAGTCATGAATATTTTTTATAAGAATAAAAGTTATGAATAGATGTTTCCTGTAATGTAAACTGTTTTTATTTATTTATACATATTAGTTATTTAATAATTAGTCATGAATATTTATGTAATAATAAAAGTTATGAATATATGTTGCTTTTTAATAACTTTTGTTAATGTAATGACTAGCTGCTTTAATTTATTCATACATATTTATTATTTAATAATTAGTCATGAATATTTTTTTACAGAAGCATAATTTAAAGAACAAAAAGTCATTAAATTTATTGTGTTTAGTTTTAATTCCAGTTTTCTGCATTAACCATAGATTCGTAAACATTTGTCTCACATTCCACTTAAAATGCATAAACACTTCTTGTAACTTTTAAAGTAAAGAAAATAGAAAGATTAATTTCCCTAGATTGTTAGACAAATGTTTGTGAATAGTGTATCTCCTATGCATATTTAGGAATTTAAGATTAGTTGAGTAAAGGTTTGAATAGGATTATCAGATATATTAATTGTAAACTGAAAAATATTGTGCTAAAAACTTATATTTTTAGGTTATGCTCACCAATGCCATTTATTGCCTTTAAGTACTATAGATATCTTTTTGTTGTCATAATTTATTTTCTTAAAATTGTCTTGCATGATTCGTAATTCACTTTTTTCGAATTTGAATTATTAAATTTCCGTTGTATTCATTTATATTAAATTTATTCATTAAACTCCACATTAAACATGTACAGTAGAACCCTGATTATACAACTCTTCAGTTATCTGACAATCCTTCCAAAGCGAGTTAAAAGCTTTTCATGACTTGTTTCATTTTTATTACAGATGATTTTACCCATTTACTCTTGTAATGATGAATCCAAAATTTTGCTGCTAGAATAAAAAAAAATATCTATTTATTTTTTTTTTTATATATATATATATTATTTCAATATTTATGATAGACAAGCAAAACACAACTGTTTTTTCTTAAACTTTATTAAAGTTGTTACTTATTTTAAATAATTTTCCTCATGATTTAATGTCTCCTACTTAAAAAGGTCACCCTATAATGCACCAATTTCTATTTTCCAATATGTTTCTAGCCCTGAATATGCCAGATAATCAGAATTCTACCTTACTCATAATTTTCTTGATTCTCTTGATATTCTTCACTTGGTTGAAGAGATTTAAAAAAATATATTACTGTTACCTCCAGCTGTTTTAAATCTAAGCTTTGTTGCAAATAAAAATGAAAGGTTTGATAAACATTTCCTTTTCAAATTATTCTTTTTGCATATTTTTGCTTTCATTTTTTTTTTTTTTTTTTTTTTTTTTTTTTTTTTTTTTTTTTTTTTTTTATAGTTTAACAGAACTTATAAACTGATTTTTACCACAATTTGCCTTTTATTTCCTGAAAAACATATTGAAGTTTAATGTTGTTTGGATAACAATATTTATACTTCAAGAGAAAAAAGTATGGCACATTTTTTTTTCTCTTACATATGCTATAAAAAAAGTTTTATTTTGTTACTCTAGGGTTCTGGAAAGTGGTATGAAATGCAAGATCTTCATGTTACTGAAATTCTTCCACCCATGATAACTCTTTCTGAAGCTTACATACAAGTAAATTATTTTTTTTTTTTGCTTTGTTTATAAATGTTATTTTTTATTGCAAAAGTAAATCTTGTTTTTATTTATTTTTAGTATGTAGTTGAAATCACTTTTTATATTTGAGTTAATAATTTGAGAAATATATAGGCCACAATATTCAAATCTTAAAAATAAAACCCTTTCCTAAAAAAAAAGCACTTAAAATTGTTAAACTTAATGTAAAAAATTTAATGAAAAATTAATGCACTTAACACAAAAGAAATATAAATTAATGTCTTTGGAACACAAAATTGCAAACATTAGGTAGAAAATTTATTTTGCAAATTGCATCTTTAATATACCCAGCAAGTTAAATTCAATTATTTAAACGAAAGAAGTATTTTATTGCAATCATTTCAAAACTGCAAAAACCTCCATTTCTGTTGTTTTTTTTTTTTTTTTTTTTTTTTTTTTTTTTTTTTTTTTTTTTGAATTTCAAATCAATTTATGTTTAAAAAACATATTGTTCAATTTTTCTGAAATTCTCAATAACTTATTTCATTTTTGCATTTAATTAGCAATATGGAAATCGGTATTTATTTTTTATTAGTAATTATTGTATTGGTATTTAGTATTTATTTTTCTTAGCATTGGTTTCTAGATTTTTTCTCATTGGCCCAGGCATCTGGTCAATCTGATATATGCACAACACATTCGATTTTACAACTGATAATCCTTTGTCACATCTCCACCATATATTATTCTTTTATTCATGTTAAATATCCATATGTTATAATTTAATTAAAATCTAAATCAAATTTTTATACGCTATAACCTTAATTTAAATTTTATGTTTCAGATATGGGAAAGAAGACCTTATGAAGATTCACCGCAAAAAAATGGTAGTTCATTATAAAATTATTTTGTAACTTGTAAATATGTACATCTATGGAAAAGTTTCATCTTGTTTTTACATAATTCATAATAAATGATTGCATTAAAACATTTGTTTTCTACTTCATTTAATTTATATATATACACATATACACACAATAGGGTTCTGACTATCCAGCAGTGTAATAAAAAATGAGGAATGCTAAATCAGTCATTACATCACTTATAAGAATTTTGTCTCTTCCCAGTCATAACTTCACACTTGTGTAGTTTATTAATAAACATTGAGTATTTCTCAATCATTTCTCTTAAAATTTGTAAGTTGTGCTTTAAATTTTTTGTGATAGTGCGTAGGAAGGTGAACTTCGTCCCATCTGGCTATTTTGCTATCTATCCTTCTGCCACATTAGACTAGATGGTTAGATGACCTTCTATGTATGTATTTGTATGAAGACCTTATTTGAATAGTATAGAACAATTACATCTTTTGTTCTTTTTAAGATACAGAGTCCTGAAGTTGAATGAGTCTATTGGTTTTTTTCGTACCATGTCTAATTTTTGGTGGACCTCCTGCTTTCAGGGTTGCTATGCTACCTGGAAAAATCAGGAAATTTGGAAATAATCCAAAAAATCGAGAAATTTAACATTTTTTAGTCAAACTCTGGAAAATTCAGGGATTTTGATTTAGCGATGTTCAATTATGACAACATTTGCCGTTGAACACGTTTTCTACCAAATTTCACAGAACCATAGCATGTCATGGTTTTGCGACTTAAAATATTTTCAACTGGGAAAATGTTAGTGATTGCTAGACTCCATAACAGATAGAAGGGTAGGTGGACTTAAGATTGCCTATTCATATTCTTGATTGAGAAATTTATTGGGATAAATAGGGTTTTACAATCTCTTACAAATCATTAATGTTTTTTATTGTAAATTTCATTATATCACCCAGTTTGGATAAATGAATTAAGAACTCGCAGGAAGCATGGTTATTGCTCTTCCACATGGAAATAATATCCTGGGATTAATCCACAATCCAGATTTTATTTTTTATGGCCCATTTTTGTGGAAAAAAATTTTTTATTAATAAAGAACATTCCGTTTTTTTGTGAACCCACGTGTGTTTCGATCGTTTTTTTAGCCGCTTCACAATGGTTTTCAAATGAGTTCCTATAAATAAATACGTTATTGCGATACTCCTTTAACGTGGTTTTTCAAATCCAGTAATACGATGTTATTGATACGTGTGAATTCCGATTTTGAGTTATCACTTTTTAATGTGTCCTCTTTGTGACGATTCCGTTGTAATTTCATATCGTTTGATAGCTTTTTCGGCAGTTATTTATTATTTTTTCGACCTTTTTCATATGGTTTTTCAAATTCCGATATTTTTAATACGTTGTTATTACGACGTGCGAATTTCGATTTTCAGTTATTACTTCTAAATGCGTTCGACTTGGGACAATCCCTTTGTTATTTCACATCGTTTATTAGTTTTTTCGTCAGTTATTTAGCTTTTCGACCTTTTCCGATCTTCTTAATACAGGTTACTACGAAGTGCAAATTTCGTATTATAGCTTTCTGACGGGTTCGATTCGTTATGATTTAATCCTAAAGTCACTATGTTTGGTGATAGTTTTTTCGGCAGTTATTTAACATTTTGTCGGTCCTTTTCGCATGGTTTTTCTAATTTTTATTACGACGTTAAATTTTAAGTTATCATTCTTTGATTCGTTATAATTTCGCCGTATCTTCACGTTGTTGGATGATTATGAAGTACCCTCTGTCATTCTCCATTTTTTTCGCCTTTTTTCCACAAGGATTTCCCAAACTCCGATATTTTTAACACGCGAATTTCGAATTAGAGTTTTGACGCATTCGATTAGTGAAGAGGCTGTCATAAAATCACGCCATTCCCTATCTTTTTTCCAAATATCCAATGTGGAACAATTTTGTGCGATCATTGTTTTAAAGAGAAATTTCGTAAAGGGGCCATTCTTACGAATTTGAATTGTAGAAAGGGGGGTAATTTTTATGTTGTACCACCATGAACTCCCAGAAAAAAATTAATGCTAAAACAATTTCATTTCTAGTTTGTTTAGGGGTTGCCTGTACTTGAATGTGGAGGAATAAAACTCTTGAAATAACCATAGTTTGTGAAGAAAAAAAAGAGTTGAAGTAGCAAAAAGTGTGGAAATAAAAACATTTAAATTCTGCAGATTAAATATTTGTATTTATTTGTTTTTCTCTTTCAACAAGATAAGTACGCATTGTTATACTAAACTAACGTCACTTGAAATATGATAGTGTAGTGCTTTGTTTCTGAATGCAATTATATGTTTATGTAAAATAAAACATGGGACAAAAGTGGGGTAGGATGAAGTGTTGCATTTTATAGCAAAAATGGAGGAATCAAAACCCCTCGTAACAAATTTTGAAAAGAAAAATTGAAGGACCTCTTTTTGAGAGGAGTAATATATTCGTAATTGCTAAAATTTAGTACTAGATAAGAAATATGACACATGAACTGGATTATTTCGAACCTAGAAATGGGTAAATGGAGTTGGATAGGAATAAAATATTTTTGTGTCGAGGTTATCTTTTGTATCCCTACAGTTGACTGGTAAAAAAGCATTCCTGCAGCAGCCCATAGTGAGCCAAGAGGCTTATGAAGGTTAAGATTTCGCAATTACGAGATGGTGTTAATGTGGTTAACTCTGAGCTTTGCCCATTTTTATTTTCTGCACAGCTGGTAGTTTTCAAGCTGCAGCTGAATCCCAATTCTTCACAATGGCAGTTCGGTGCCTTTATTACTGAGTTATCGTGCCTCGGAGTTGACTGTCGGGTATAATTGGTATTGGAACTGGTCATTCGATAAAAAATTATTTTTTATTGAGGCAGATTTTTTTTCCCCGATCACTATCAGATGCAAAGCACATATTGAAAATTCTGAGTGAGTCATTGGCCTTTTGTGGTCCTTTCCTCTGACTTCCTAGTTTATATCCATTTACGCTTATTTTCTGAATGTAAAAGGATGTTTGCTTTCGAGAAAAAAAAAGAAAGAAAAAAAAAACATATGGGTTAACCATCTACGAAAAAATTAATATGACCGACACAATCAACGCATTTACATTAAATGTCTCTTTCATATGCACGAAAAGTATTTTCATGAATTTTGTTCATTCATAACTGTCTATATAGCCATAGATATATACCATATCATTAATTTAGAATTAATTTCGATCAATTTAGACTCTAAACTACTATTTTAAAGTGATATGGAAAAATTTATATGCTTTTCTGCACCTTTGATTTGTCCCGCAGTGGACTGATCGTTAAGACATGGTTCCCAGCAGACAACCGAAGTCAAGAATCACTGGCTGCCGTCAGTGTGCGGGTGGGTGACCACTTGGATCAGTCTGCGTAGGGACCGAGGGTGTGCGGTATGGGTCCTCGTTAAACTGTGCTACCGTAAAGCTGCCGTCGCCAATAGCCCATTGTGCACTAGAGCAGCACAATGGGCTATTGGCGACGGTCTGGGAAACATCCTGGAGGATGATCCGAAGATATGCCATCACAATTTTGATCCTCTGCGGAGGGGATGGCTACCCCGCTTCGGTAGCCCGATGACCTGCGCGCGAAGTTGAGCACTTTACGGTAGCACAGTTTAACGAGGACCAATACCGCACACCCTCGGTCCCCACGCAGATTGATGCAAGTGATCACCCACCCGCACACTGACCGTAGCCAGTGATGCTTGACTTCGGTGATCTACTGGGAACCGTGTCTTAACGATCACAGTTCACTGCGGGACCTTTGCACTATTGAAAATGAACCACTAGCTTCAACCTTGTTTTCACTAATACATTTTGACAACTTTTATTGTGGATGTTGTGGCAACAGTCTGTTGTAAATATGGCATTTAACTCTTTTAAATATGAAACTATAGGTTATAAAATTGTTAAATAATAAAAAAATAATGATAAATGCGATAGTGCTTCGCATAAAAAAGCAACTACCGACGACACCGGTAGGTCAACTTTAATGACTTGTGAATAGATGACGATGTGAGGGGATTGTTGTCCTGTCTTCTTTTTTAATTTTGTTTAGCTATGTCTAGTTGGTATGTTTACAATTTGATAAATTATTCTACTTATAAATACAAACATCTAAATTTAGAATACTATTTTCTTGTTTTTTTTATTGGTTTTATTGATTGATTAATGTGTTAATTATCTTTCTCAATAATCTTATTTTTAATGTTTTATTTATGAATTTTGTTTAGGAAATAATGGGGTTTCGAATTGTTAGGTTTTTGTTTGTTTGATATTGCATTGCATTGTTTACATTTAAACTCTAACTGTTGTCGCCTGGTTTTAAATAAGGCAATAGTTTCTATTTCTCTTCATAGTGTTTCTTATTAATTTAATATCATTTGAAGTTTTTTGTTTCTGATTTCTGATTAATTTTCAGTTAGCTTTATTCTTAATTTTCTATATCATTTCTAAGCTTCTGTGACAAAAAAAGGCATGCTTTAAGATATTGAGTTGTAAGTTTCTCAAATAAGTACATGTCAGTTAAATTTTACTAAAATTTTGAGAGAATTGTTTTTTACAAACATGAGCAAATGTCTGTCATTAATGATTTTTAAGTATCCAAAGTTTATTTCATAGCAAACAAATATCCAAAAAAAGGGAAATTACATGTATCATCAAAGTACTTTTCTTGTGTTATTTTTCCTGGGTAATTAGTTTTGCATCAACTTCTTTTTTTTATATTGCACCTAATAAATATTTACGTAATTGAAACTGACAAAAAGTTGTTAATACTGTCAAAACCCTTTTATGATAGTAATTAACCAAGACTGACATAACTAATGGACGTGAAATATCCTCAGTGGTAGACTGACCATAGGATGGAATCCCCTTGTTGTCAGGCTAACCATGGGAGATTTTTGTGGTTTTCTTCCCCATGGAATGCAAATGCGTGTGTTAGTTCCACCAAAAAAATGCCCCTGTAAGGCTAATTTTTCCCAAGAGTTGATCAAGGAGTTACCTTTTCTTTGGATTGGGTTCAAAATTACAAGACTATGGTGTTGAACATTAACAGTCTTAAACTTAGGCATCAGCTGCTCACGACTGTTATAATATAATCAGGGAAATTTGCATTAATTACAATTTGGAAATAGTTTATACATTATACTACATTTGCATTAAAAAAAAGTTAACTTAGTGTGTTTTATTATTGCTTTTACAGGGGTCTGTTTAGAAGAAATTTGGGTCCGTTAACGGACCCTTCACAAAATATCTTTTCATAAAAACGGATCCTTCACAAAACATTTTAACTTAAAAATGGACCCTTCACAAAATAATTTATCTTTTAATCCGACCCTTCACAAATTTGTTTATCTTCATTATTGTTTTGTTAATCGAATAAACCCTTCCTAGGAAGGGCAGATGTAAACAAACTAAATTTTGTCTTTGGCAGACGCTTCTTCCTTTATTTGTCCGAAATGAATATTCTACATTTAGCAGTATAGGCTAAATACCAAATATTTGTATGTTGCTTCATTAATTTAGTAGCTGCATTTGCTGTTTATTTTTTAAAATTTAATTTTTTTAATTATAATTTTACAGTGTTGAGCATAATCTTGTATGTCTTTACAATTTAAAAACTCCCTGAAAAAGTTTTTTTGCAATAACAGACCCTATTTTCACAAATTCACAAAAGCGGACCCTTGTTGAAAGAATGTGACTTAGCATTATTTTATATTCACAAATTACGAGTAATTTTTTTCACAATTTTACTAAAACTGACCTTTTACAAAATGTCTGGACAGACCCCTGTTATATATTTTGGTAATGAACTGTGAACAAGTTTGCTATAAATTTTCTTTTATAGATTGTAGGAATCAATTATGGTGCTTATCTTGAAAACTGCAATGCATTTAGGCTTCTATTGATACGGATTTGACTCTAATTATACAAACAGATATGGAAAGTTAATATATTGAATTGGTCTTCTGTAAGGGGCTAAAATAAAGTAAAAAAAATATCACAATCAACTACCAGACGAAGTGTCATGAGAAGTTTCCTTTGGTAGGACGTTGGAAACATTGAATTAACATATGCTATTATATAAATGCATGCAAAATAAGTCCTAATATCTAATTATCAGTGATTGTATTAAAATAAAATTTATATTTACATTACAATTAGTTTAAAGCTTATGAAAAAAAAATGTTCTTTTAATATTAATCTTTTCTTTAATTGTTATTTGAGAGTTTTCATCTTATCACAGAATTTTTATAGGCTCAAAAAAATATTTATATTGTTTTTATCCTTTTTATTTTTTCAGTGAAGTTTTACAACTGCATAAAAAAATAATAATAATAATTGTAGTTTTGAATTAAGTTAAAGGGAAAAAAAGTTAAAATGTGTTTACTTGTTACTTATTGTCCTAATCTTTTCAAATTCATTATGTTTCTAAATATTTTTTATTTTTTCCTACCATTGTGTATTCACTAAATTTTTTGGTAAAACTTAAATTCAAAATTTTGTTTGTATGTTAATTATATTTTTTCACCCAACAGCTGTGATTGTTTTTACGTTAATTAAATTTTTTCTCTCAACAGTTGTGATTGTTTTTATGTTAATTATATTTTTTCTCCCAACAGCATTTCAGATTTAGAAGATGTTAAACCAAGGAAAATGGACTTATCTCGTACCCGTGGCACCCCTTGTGCTTTGTCTGCTGATTCTTGCTGTGGAGAAAAACCTCCATACAGAAATCCCCATCATACTCAAAAAGCATTCGAAGTCATGAATATTTTAAGAAAGTAAGTTTCTAGCACTTTTCTATTTGCTACTGTTATAGAATTAATAAATTTTATAAATGTTTTCATTTGTCATTCTGTGCATTCAATTTGTTTAAAAAATTCTTTTGAACATATTTTATGATTTGTTCAAGCATAAAAAGAAGAAAAGACTGAGATGCGGAAGAAATTATAAACAAGTTACCATTAGAAAAGAAGGGGTTAATTAATCGAAAACAAGATAACTAAATAAAAGTAGAGAGATAAAAGATTATGATGAACTGTAGAATAAGAACTCTGGCTTTTGCAAGATGTAGAATTTAAAATAATTTATATATACAAATATTTGGAAAGAAGACTGTGATGATGAAGAAGATGTGAGACTGGATTAGTCAATAACTAAATTATAAATTTTTTAAAAAATATGACGTAAATGACCTAGTGATTTAAAACGTTGTGATCTTTGAATTAATTTTTTAAAAATTTTGTTGCTACAATCTGTTTATCATCTGGATACAAAATAACCGTAAAGCAATTGTGGGGGCTTGAGGAACAAAGTGAGTCTCTTGGTACTAACGTAAAAAGAGAAAAAAAATTAAAGATATTTCCATTCTCTGGCATTAAATCACTTGAACCTTTTTCAATTTTTAATGTGAATTATTAGTTTTAACGATTGGAAGTGGGCTTCTTATGTTAATGAATTCACCCACTGAAAATCATTTTTGGCTTACAAGCAACTAGTTTAAGTGCTATGATTTGTTATGAAACTATAGCCGTGTTTTGAGATTTTTTCCCTCCCCAACATGTGATAATAACTGCGGAAATAGTGTGCATGCGGATAAATGTGAAGTAATGAGCTAGAAAATGGGAGGACAATTGTTTTGGTTAGTAGTGAATTTTCAAGTTAACTTTAAAGCAGTGCACAAAATTGTAATCTGTGTTTGTTCTAAGTTTGAGTTCAATTTGCCAGATATGAAATTGTCCCATCGAAATTCACTACACTGGCAATGTATTTACAGGATCAAAGAATTGTCTTAATTGTCTTTTTTTTTTTAAAAAATCTATCTATATTGCCTGAATAAATTAAGAATGTTCAAAATTATTTTGAAGTAATGCTCAGAATTCGCTTAAAGTGTACGTCAGTCTGAGAGTGAGACTAATTTTAATTCGAGGCTTTTTGTTTTGAATAGAGCATGGCAAATATGGGTTGTGCGTTAAGAAGTCAATTTGTTGTTTGTGTAAAGATTTAATATGACAATGGAGACAATTTTTTATTGTTGTGCATCTGCGAAAATGGTGATTAACGACTGGTATAATTTCAAAGTATTATAAAGGGGAGGGGAGAATCTGGGTACAGGTTTTATAAATGAGTAACTTCAATGTATTTATTGTATGTTTTTTTGTATATGCATGTTTAGTGCCATTTGAATAATAATTTTGTGTTTATATATTCTATATTTTTATGAAGTTTTCAGTAGAGATCTAATAAAACATATTTAGTGTTGGGAAATATTAGTTTGATATTATCCCAATAGGCAATCTATCTATGTAATAAACATTTATTTTTCAATAGTTAAATTTTTTAAATTTTTGCTTATTTAGTGCCACTGCCCAGTATACCTTACATTGTTTTTTCTCTCCTTTTTTTTAAAAAAGTTTAAGTGCTATTACCTGATATGTCCTTTACAGTTTTTATTTTTATTAAGGTAGGCTAAATGACATTGCCTGGTTTGCCCTATATTGTTGCTTAAAATTGACTGTAATACTAGAACTTCATATTTCATAGAGTTGTAATACTTGATTCCGTTCTAGTGATCGGGAGCAGAAGCCTAACAAAACAGTTTCCTGGGGGCTAACATTTGATAGAAATCTGCTTTTATCAAATGCATATTTTGTCTTAAAAAATACCATAAATGTGGTTGTTGAGAAAAAATCGCCAAATATCAGGTGCAGATGCACAACAAATCAGTTCTGTTCAAATACAAAAATGAGCAAATTAGTATAATTTTTGCATGTTCAGGCTTATATTCCCTGTTGTGCAATTTATTCAATTTTGTCATAAATAATAAAGAGAAATTTTCCTTCTTGAATTTTTTAATCAAATGTTTATTTCATTTAGTATTGTTTTGGTGTGATTTGTGAATAATTTTAATTGTCATGATATGATTTAAACCAATTTTGTTTTTAGTTCTTGGCGTTTTTTTTCTCCAAATAATATACTTTGATTTAAATATTATCTATTTAAATTTTTAATATTATATTTAAAAAAAATCATTGTATAGAAGCTTATGTTGCTGAAATTTATAATATTAGTAAACAATTATTGTTGTTGATTGATCTTATTGACCTTCAATTTCATATCATGTTGTTTGATGCTGAATTATTTTAATGATATCACATAGGATTTAAAATTTTTATCATAAAATATTTTATGTTGAATGATGTGTTATGATGCAGGGGTAGAAATTAAGAAAATTTAATCACTAATCTTGAGGACCAGCAATTAAAAGAAATTACAAGTCCAAATACATTTTCTCTAGTTCGTTTACATGTGTATATTTTATTTATTATTTTTTTAAATGAAAAATTATTAAAATGAATTTAAATGATAAATTACAGTATAAAATATTTGTAATGTTCATAATTATGATAAAATATGCTATTTTATGACAAAACCATTTCATTTATGGTGGCCCAAGTCGAATTTTTAGTGGTACCAGACCAACCACCATTAATCTTGATTCTTGTGATGATATTCCTTCTAGAAATAACAGTTTAAGTTATCAATTAAATTTTTAGTTTCTAAATTATTTGTTTTACAAAACTTTATTTTGTATTTAGTGTTAAATTTATTATCATGATTCAATTTAAGGGTTTTAAGATTTTTGATTATTGAAAAAAAAATGATAATGATGATTACTGTTGTTTAAAAGTCTAAAAGGTTATTATAATTTAAAATGATGATTTAAGTGCAACAGGAAGGTAAAATTCTTAGGTGACTATTATGAAATTCACCCTTACTTGATAACCTGCTTAAAAATATGTTTGTTTACAGAAGTTTCATATTTGCATTGAAACAAACCTTTCATAAAATTTGTTTTGTTATTAAACTTTCATTTTAATTTATATTGTGATTAAACCTCATCTTAATTCACATTCATTTTGTATTATGTTGTTTTTTATGTTTCAGGCAAAATCTTCTATGTGATGTAATTTTGGTCGCAGATGGCATTGAAATCGCTGCACATAAAATGGTCCTTGCTTCATGTAGTCCTTACTTTTATGCAATGTTCACAAGCTTTACTGAAAGCAAAGCAGAAAAAATAACAATTCAAGATGTAGATGGACAAGCTTTGCAACTTTTAGTTGATTATGTATATTCCTCAGAAATCCAAGTTACCGAAGAAAATGTTCAGGTTAGTAATTTCGTATTGCTGTTACTTTTTTCAACATCAATGCTGTTTATTTTTGAAAACTCATTTCTAAATTACAATTTTTAGTTATATTATTGGCCCCTCTTAAATGGTTCATTTAATACTAAAACAATAGTATTAAGTTCAAAATGAAAGTTTTACAGATCAGAGTTTAAAGATCAGGATTTGTAAAAGAAGTTTTACAAAGATAATAAAAATGACTACAGAGATGATTGTGCTCTGGAAAAAATCAGGATTTCTGGATTTTTCGCTAACCGAGATTCGACAATTTCCAGAAATCCAAGATCCAGAAGTTTAAAAAAATCATTGATCACATTTATGTATAAAAATTCTTGTATATTTTATTTAAAAATATTAGAACTGGAATTTATGCTGGCATCTCTTTTATTTGTAAATATTATTTTCTGGTAGAAAAATAAATGTGATTAGAGATAAAAGTAAACTTATCAGTAATTTTTTATTTAAATTATGCAGCATATAATTTATTTCAAATATCATGTGAAAATAACAATAATTTAAAATGCGTCATTAATGATTTTACTCAAGAAATTTTTAGGATTTTTGAGTTGGGCTCGCAATTACTCGTGTGATTAGTAGTGTAAAATTTTTTTTTTATTTTGTACTTAGTTCTTGTATTAATCTAAAGACAGCTTTGGTTGAACAGGGTTAGGCTATAGTATAGGCTTGCTAAAGTTGGAATTTTGCCAACATACGTAGCTATCATGATCATTCAATGATAATTAACTGCAAAAAGAAACAAAACTAGGTAAGCAACAACTTCTATAAAACTGGATTAGGTAACTATTTAATCTATTAAATTAAATTGTGTTGATTAGGTTCTTTTACCTGCTGCTCATCTTCTACAACTAACAGATGTTAGGGATGCTTGCTGTGAGTTTTTACAAGGTCAGCTACACCCTTCCAATTGCCTTGGTATTCGTGCATTTGCCGACCTACATGGGTGCTTAGAATTGCTCAGCTTTGCAGATTCTTATACCGAGCAGCATTTTGTGTAAGTCTTGTGCTTTTTTCCCCATATCTTTTAAATGTGTTAAAATTTTGCTAGTCAACACAAAAATATTGAATAACAATAGTTAATTTTCGCATTTCATTTTTTTTTTTTAAATTAATTTATTTTAGTTTCAAGCATTACTTTCCCATATCATATCATTGAATCATTAAAATTATATTTTAGGAATAAGATATATATATATATATATATACTGGACTGGCAAAATGTCTATAGTAAATGGACATACTAGAAATAAAATAAAAATTTAAAACTCAACGTACAATTCTAGTTTTGACATTTAGCGATACCAATTTTTTTTTATATTCAGTTTAAAAAATGAAAAAAACAAGCTTCTTGAGTAAAAACAATATTAACTATTCATTATATTATGTTTTTCGTAATTTAATTGTGAAATTTCAGGGATGAGATTTTTTTGCTTTTTATCAGATTTCAGCCTTTTTCGCTTTTGTCACTCGAATTTCAGTCTTTTTATCAAAAACTCAGATTCTCTAAAAGTTTTTTTATTTTTATAAATATTCCGCCTTTTCTGAAAATTCAGCCGTTGAAATAAAATAATTATATTTATTTCGGATTTGATATATAGGTATAATACATTGAAAGATATATAGAAAATTCTAACTACGTAGCTGCCAACTCTTCCGCATATCTACTTATTTTAGTTATTAGCTTTTACGAACAGAAAATAAGATTTTCCTCATTTTTACCCGTCCGCTAAATAGCTCATATTTTCGTAATCAGGACGTCTCTGCATTTTAATATCAAACATCGATTTTGGTATTTACCTGATTCAATTCCTATTCTCGCGATTTCAATATCGTTCATTGCAATTCTTATTTACGAGATTTAAAAATCCAATATCGCGATTTGTATACAGGTGTTTTTAAAATTCTATGTAACGATTCATATTCATGCGAGTTTATCTGATGTCGTGATTCNTCCAATGTCGTGATTCGTTTTTGCGGTTGTAATATCGCGCGATTTTAAAATTATGCATCTTGATCTAAAAATTACTCATCATAATTTGTATTTTCGCATTTTTTAAATTCGATGTAGAGTTTCACATTCACGTGATTTAAAAGCCTCATATCGGGATTTATAATCACATGGATTACAAGTTTAAACAAAAATTTGACAAAAAAAGTGCGATTTGAATATAAATATATATATATATATATATTCTTGGATTTCCTCTTTTTTACTTTCTGACTACTCTCATCCCTGATTGTATAACCGGACTGGCAAAATGTCTATTGTAAATGGACATACTAAAAATAAAATAAAAATTTAAAACTCAACATACAATTCTAGTTTTGACATTTAGCGATACCAAAATTTTTTTTTATTCAGTTTAAAGAATGAAAAAAAAAAGCTTCTTGAGTAAGAGCAATATTAACTATTCATTATATTATGTTTTTCGTAATTTAATTGTGAAATTACAGGGATGAGATTTTTCCGCTTTTCAGCGGATTTCAGCCTTTTTCGCTTTTGTCACTCGAATTTCAGTCTTTTTATCAAAAAACTCAGATTCTCTAAAAGTTTTTTTATTTTTATAAATATTCCGCCTTTTCTGAAAATTCAGCTGTTGATGTAAAATAATTATATTTATTTCTGATTTGATATATAGGTATAGTACATTGAAAGATATATGGAAAATTCTAACTACGTAGCTGCCAACCCTTCCGCGTATCTACTTATTTTAGCTATTAGCTTTTACGAACAGAAAATAAGATTTTCCTCATTTTTACCCGTCCGCTAGATAGCTCATATTTTCGTAATCAGGACGTCGCTGCATTTTAATATCAAACATCGATTTTGGTATTTACCTGATTCAATTCCTATTCTCGCGATTTCAATATCGTTCATTGCAATTCTTATTTACGAGATTTAAAAATCCGATATTGCGATTTGTATACAGGCGTTTTTAAAATTCTATGTAACGATTCATATTCACGCGAGTTTATCTGATGTCGTGATTCGTTTTTGCAGTTGTAATATCCAATATCTATTTTCGTGTGATTTAAAAATTACCCTTTTACACGTGATTTAAAAATTAGGCTTATTCACACTATTTAGAAAATATGCATCGTAATTCGTATTTATGCGATCTGAAAGTTACGTATCATGATTTGTATTTTCACATTTTTGAAATCCAATATTGAGTTTCATTCACGTCATTTCAGTAGCGTGATTTATATTCATGCGATTTTAAAATCCTTTATCGCGATTCTTGTGAAAAGTAAGTTTTTTTTCTCGAATTAGTTATACTATAAATGTGGCAGCTTTTCTATCGGCAATTATTGCTATATATATGCATCACAACATCAGCGAAACTGGATGAGAATATGTTACTGATATTTTTGCTATAAATCACGTAAGAATTACTTGCGTGAAATTCAGCTTTTTTGCCTTTTGGCCAATCTCATCCCTGTAATTTCCTTGTATTATTTACTTAATGATTTACTTGTAGATGTTGTAAAAATGTTTATTATTATTATTATTTTAAGAGAGGTTGTGGAAAGTGAGGAGTTTTTAGCTTTATCACCAAATCAAGTCTGCAAGCTCATCTCTAGTGACAAACTCGCTGTACCATCTGAGGAAAAGGTATTTTTATACATATTTGTTTAAATTGTTATTTCTCAATTCTAAAAGGCATACATTGCAACACAATGGTCAAATTTTGAAATATAAAATTATGAGTATATTATTACCAAGAATCTTAAACGTTAATTGCTCAAAATTTGTTTTGTTTTAATTTGTATGGATTACTTCTAAATTTATTGTAGATAACCAAAAGCTGAAAACTTTTTTGAAGCAATAAAATTGAGTTTATCACAGTTTTTTCCCCAATGATTTATCACTTAATCTGTAGGACTGAACAATATATATCAAAACTTCAATATAACTCACATATCCTCACTGTGATTTAGTCTCTTTCATTTCTCGCAATGCATCAAAACTCTGTTTTAGAACGAGTTTTCCATTACTGTAAGCCGTCTATTATAACCATGCATGAAATCTCGTTTGCTATTCCATAGACATCATTTTATTCCAACACCCCTTGAAATGTCCAAACTGACTGGGCCATTCTAATATAGTGACTAAAAATTTAATTTTTTTAGTTCCTAGAAAATCAATCCTAAAACAGTTGTTACACATATTTAAGTTATAAAAACTAAAATTTTCTATTAGCAGTGAATCAATGGGTCCAAAGGAAATTATTCAAACTACTATTTCTGTTGAGGTTACCACTCAATATGTGTGAAACATCTTGGACTCTCTATGAATAAAGAAAGAGTGACAGGGCCATCTATTCTTAACTTATGGGGTCCTGGACATAGTCAATGGTCAAAAAGATTGTAAACTATTGATTACTTTTCATTATTGAGAATTTATAGATTGTGATGCATCCTCGTTGTACCACCCGGAGTTTCCTGCATGCATTCGTAGCCTTTGTAAATTTCTTCTCAAATGATTCAATGAATTCATCAATCCTATTTTTCTTGTTTGATTTTTTTTTTATTATTTTTTTTTGAGTTGTTGTAAAGAATAATTTTTTTAATAATTAAAGCAATTAGTATCCTGATTGTGAATGGATTGAATGTTTTTTTTCTCTTAATTTAAACCTCTATAAAATGTTTTTTGCTAACTCGGTGTCAATGTATAACATTTTTTCATTATTTTCCTGAAAAGCAAGGTTTCACATGTTTTACTGTCGCAGTTTTTAAGTGTAAAATATTTTTTCACTGAAAGCAGACACAAAAAATCAGAAAAAAAGGAACTTATTTACTCACTATAAGTAATGAAGTATAATATTTTGATAAGGTTTTGAATGACAAATGTAGAGAATCAAGGATAATGTTTGTGCAATATTTACTCTTCGTAACTTCCCAGTTTTTTTTTCTTCTTTAAATTTAGAGAAAAAGCAATATAAATGACTACTTCCTCACTCTTTGGATAAGACATAAGTGTGGATTTACAAGTTTAAAGAGCAGACAGATCATTATGTTACAAAAATGTTTAGCAAAAAAAAAATACTAATTTATCTGTTTTTTATTTTTTAAAACAGTGTGCTTGGTTGTTTTTGAAACTATGACTTGTTTTTGTATTTGTTTTCTTATTGTTTTTATTGAGAGATTTTTTTCATTATTGCTTTATGCATAAATAAATATTTTTTTATTTCACACAGTATTACTCTTATTTTTTAAAAAAATAATTTAAACTTCATTTAAAATTAAAAATATTTTTTAACAACTATTGTATTAATACAATGTTTGTACGTGTATTTATCATTGTATTAGTTCAACTGCATGATATAAGTATACAAATTATAAAAAGAAAATTATAAGCGTTAAGCTCCAATTTTATTTATTTACTTATTACATCTGTTTCAGGTTTTTGAAGCTGTTATGGCATGGGTTAATAATGATTTACAAAATCGGCAAGACTACTTAGCACAGTTGATAGAGCATGTTCGATTACCATTACTTTCTCAAGAATATTTAGTTCAGCGTGTTGAAGAAGAACCTTTGCTTAAATCAAATCATCTCTGCAAGGACTTCTTAATAGAGGCCATGAAATACCATCTATTGAAAGGGGAACAGAAGGTCATGTATAAAACTCCCAGGACAAAACCTCGCACTCCAATTGGGCGACCCAAGGTAAGTTTTTAAACTTTATTTGTTGTATTTATCCATGTAGGATTTGGATATTCACATAGTCGCATCTTTTTCTTGGTCCATATAAAAAAAATTTCTGAACTTGGTGAAGAAAATTATTAGTTAAAAATATCTACTAATTTAGTATTTGTAAGGTAGTTTTTGTAATTTTATAAAACAGTTGTTCTTTTTCTAATGTTCAGTATTACAACTGTTTTAAAAATAATTTTTGCTGTGCTCACTTCTCATTCTCATAATGTTAAAACTGTTGTGCAAAAAAAGTCTGAAATTTCTTTCATTTTAGAGAAATGTTTAAAAAAACTTAGTGTCATGAAAATGGTTTGTGGAGTTATTTGTATCGAAGTTGAAGGAGTTATTTTTTTGAGGGAATTCACATCAATTTAGTTTAGTAAAAACTATTAACTGTACAATTATAACTTTTTGCTACCATGTGAAGATGAGCAACATTTCTCTTTTTGTTCCAAGTTCAAATTTTAGAGTTATAAATTTTTATTTTATTTTAATATTATTTTAAACTTTTTTTAATTATATTCTTTTGCATTTAAAGAGAAATAGAATCTTGATATATTTGTCTCTCTTCTTTCACTTTGTAAATCTCAAATTAATTTTAGAGTTACAAATTATTTATACATTTTTGTAAAAATTTATTTATGTAATTCTGAAAAGTAAACAAAAATTTAATGTTTATCCATTATTTGGAAGATATTGTAGCACTTTAGCTCGCTTTGATTAACCGTTTGAGTCCCAGTATTGAAAAAACACTTAGAATTCTAAACAGCACAATCGTGCTTTTTCTAAATGAGTACGGAAAAACCCAAGCAGCTTGATAGCGCTTGTTTTATTTTATGTCAAGAAATACCAAACAGCGCGATAGCCCTTGCTTTATTTTATGTCGAGAAATACCGAGTGGCGTGATAGTGCTTTCTTTATTTTACATCGATGAACCCCAACTGGAAAAATAGCGCTTTTTGTATTTGTTAGGTAATGCGTCTTTTTCTCATCTCTCTGTCATCTCCTGTACTTATGAGGATAGTGATAACAATTAAATAGAAAAATTTATTTTGTAATGTGTTATTGCATTATTATAGTATTATTCTACCTATTGTAAAATGTACTATTTACATTAAAAAGAGCTGTGTGATGTTCTTGCTTAAGTAAATCTGAGCGTGTGACTTCAACAATCTGTAATGCACCGTCAGTTGTCCATAATGTACTAGGTTTTCTCGACATAAAATCTCAACAGTGTGATCACACTGCTTGGGACTCTAACAGTTAAAACAAATATATGGTCATTTTATGTTGGGGCCTGATGTTAATTTTCATGTAAATTAATATAAAGAGATTTTAAAAATTTTTATTCTTATATTTTAAACTTTTTATACTTCTGTTTCTGTTGTGCTGTCAAGTGACCTTATGTTTAAAGCAAAATACCCTTTTTATTTCTTTTGAGAGGTTTTGATATTCTTTATTTTTAAGATAATTTTACTTCTGAAAGGATATAAATATCTCCTAACTCCAAATGGTATAAAATTATATATATATATAGAGAGAGAGAGAGTACAGAACCCGTTATCCGGAATTCAGAAAACCAAAAAACCGGAACGAAATTCGATAAATTCCCCCCCCCCTTTTTTTAAAAAAATTTTTTTTTCCTCATAAGATTTTAGGATTTTTCTTTTTTTTGAAAGATGTTTACCTTACCATCATTTTGGAAATAATCATTAGTGTATTACTTCGTTTTTTCCTCTTTTTAAGATTATTTCCAAATTTTTTATTTATTTTTTAGTTGGGTTTAACAATAAAGAAACGGTTTTTTGTAGCAATTCAGAAAACCAGAAAAATCAGTTATCCGGAATAGCGATGGTCCCGATCATTCCAAATAATCGGTTCCCTACTGTATAAAGAAAAATTAGCTTTAGAAAATTTAATCTATTAGTAGAAAGTTGTTTATAAAATGCATTTTCTCATTAAAAATCCTATTTAATAACCTGGTATGAACAAAATGAATTTCTGTGCACCCAGCTCACTTAAACATATTTTTATCTTTTTCATATTTTTCACTTAAAATCTCTCCCTAAACATTTAAATTGTTTTCCACAAATTATATGCACAATATATTTGAATATTTATTCAAAATACATCAACAAAATATCTAACATACTTTATATTTTTCTGAAACAATGCTACATATTTCGTTCATATATTACCGCTGATAAAAATTATGTATTGATATCTTCGATTATGTCATTGTTGGACACTATAACCCAAAAGCTTAATATATTCCAAAGGAAGCTTCCTATAAATCTTAAACTTTGTTATGTTTGTCTGTTTATTATGTTGTAGATTTAATTTCTTTTAAACTGGAATAAGGAATCAAAATAAACTTTCTACAGATACTTCTTGTTGCTGGTGGTCAAGCTCCTAAAGCTATTCGAAGTGTTGAATGTTATGATTTCAAAGAAGAAAGATGGTACCAGTTAGCAGAGTTACCAACCAGGCGTTGTCGGGCTGGTTTAGCTGTTTTAAGTGGTTTAGTATATGCTGTTGGAGGATTCAACGGTTCTTTACGTGTCAGAACTGTTGATGTCTACGATCCTGTTCGAGATCAAGTAAGTAATTTTGAAAAATTGAAGCTAGATATAGCTATAATTTAAACTATAGTCTTCTAATGTTACCCATTAATATCTTCTAACTGATTTGAGAAGTTGTACTGAAAACACACCATAAGCTTATGTGAATTATTTTTTCGACGTGTATTTGTCATAAATTATTTTTGATTATTCATTTCTTTTCAAATTACTGGTTGATAAAGTTTTTTTTTTTTCAAAAAATTCTTTTGTCTGACTCAGATATTGATTGAAATATAAAAGTATTCAATAAGAAAAGTATTTAATTATTTGTAAATCATTAGAAAACAATTTTAATAGTAAAACACTGTTGTAGTATGACTATGTGGGATTAAATGTTTTATTTTATTATACTTGATGCAGCAACAACAACCAAACAACTGATGCGGCATTTCATATTTGTTGTAAAAGTTTAATAATTGATGTTTTTGGTGCCTTTGACAGAAAAAAATACCATGTTTATGTAACACTGTTTATGTGACATAGTTGTGAAATTACCCGAATGAGAACAATTTGGCGTCATTTCTTTCTAACTTCTACACAACATCAAAATCATACTTACTGTATTGAGCTGTTTCCTTTTTGAACTTGTCAAAGGACGTAACGAAATGTTTGTTTTGTTGATTCAGATTTGTAAATATAGATATATAACTTTATTTTTAGTTCATTTACAAAATTTTCTACAAAAAATAAATTCTCATAAAAAAAACTGACCTTTAAATAAAAAGTTAACTATTAGTTTAGCACTAAAAGCTTAAATAAATTGATAATTGTTAATTATTTCACAAAAAATATGATTATTCAATATTTTTATTTTACGTATCTTGAGTAGTTAAAAATTGTTTTTAAAGGTAGAAAAAGTACATAACTATTATTTTATAACTGTGCCACATAAAGATACCTTGTTGATAACTTCATGTTTTGCGTAAAAGGAAAGTTTTTATTTAATTTTAGTTCAGTAAATTCTGTCTCAGCCAATTGCTGAACCAGCATGTGATAAATATATTGCATTAGAGGGGTCTGTCCAGACATTTTTTGAAAAGTCCGTTTTTGTAAAATTGTGAAAAAATTACTCGTAATTTGTGAATATAAGATAAATGTTGAGTCACATTCTTTCAACCAGGGTCCGGCTTTTGTGAATTTGTGCAAATAAGGTTCTGTTATTGCAAAAAAAATTTCAAGGAGTTTTTAAATTGTAAAGACATACAAGATTATGCTCAACACTGTAAAATTATAATTAAAAAAAATTTAATTTTAAAAAATAAACAGCAATTGCTGCTACTAAATTAGAGATGGAACATACAAATATTTGGTATTTAGCCTATACTGCTGAACGCAGAATATTCATTTCGGACGAATAAGGAAAGAAGCCTCTGCCAAAGACAAAACTTAGTTCATTTACATCCGTCTTTCCCCCCCCCCCCCTTCCTGGGAAGGGTTTATACGATTAACAAATTTGTGAAGATGAACAAATCGATAAACGAACAATCTTCAAAACAGACCCCTGCATTAGATTCAGGTTTTCTTTAGAAAATGAGTTAGCTTCACTATTTGCTAGTTTTAAAATATTGTTTGCATTATTTATTATACTTTTTATGTGTGAGATTCAGTTAATTACTTCTTTTTGTTTAATTTTTCTTCATAATTTATTTTTAGTGGAGCCAAGCTCCCAGCATGGAAGCTCGTCGTAGTACATTAGGAGTTGCAGTGTTAAATAGTTGTATATATGCTGTGGGTGGTTTTGATGGATCAACTGGACTGAATAGTGCTGAATGTTATGATGTAAGAACTGAAGAGTGGAAAACGATTGCTCCTATGAGCACAAGACGGAGCAGTGTGGGAGTGGGTGTACTTAATGGTACGAACTCTTTCTTCTTTTTTTTTTCCTCCCAAGAATTATTGAAATTTTAGTGAAAATTATGTTTAAAGTTTGCTAATAATCATTCACTATGATAAATGTTATGATGTTAAAACTGAAGTTATGATGTAAGAACGGAAGTTTCCAGAGTTCACCTAAACGAATTGAATGCCTTGTTATTTTACATGTCTTGGTTTAGTCAATTTTTCACCTAATTTGACTCTACTATTAACATTGCCTCCTTCACTCACAGCAATGAGTATCGCTGCATTGTAGCACATATATAATTGAGAAACAATATTTTTATACAGAATGAAATTTTTTTAAAGAAAAGAGATATTTTTTGTGCAAAGAGGGCAAATTGAATAAACAAATGGAACAAAGAAGTAAACATCAATTCTGAGAATTTTTATTTTTGTAAATTATTTTTTAAAAAAAAAAAGTTTGGCATAGTGAAAAATTAATTATTAAATTATGCATCTTAAAGTGAAATTTTTTGATTAATTAATGAATTAATCGGAAAATTTCACTTTAGAATTTGTGAAATAATTTGTGAATTATCTGTATTTCGTTACAGCATATATTCTATTGTTTTTCTAATACCCAGGTGTACTCTATGCTGTTGGAGGATATGATGGAGCATCTCGGCAATGTTTGGGTACAGTGGAGCAATATGATCCTGACACAGATGCCTGGTTAGCTGTTGCTGAAATGTCTGCACGCAGAAGTGGTGCTGGTGTAGGTGTTTTAGATGGATTTTTATATGCAGTTGGTGGGCATGATGGACCTCTTGTGAGAAAGAGTGTTGAATGCTATAATCCTGAGTCCAATTCATGGACCTCAGTTGCAGATATGATGATGTGTCGCAGGAATGCAGGTGAGAGAATTTTTTTTGTTCCGTTATTTCCATTGTGGTCCTTTTCAATTTTTGGCCCTTAAATCATTTTTTTAAAAAATAATTTTTAATCTTTAATTTTTTGTTATTTATTCAAAATGAAAATTCTCGAATTACATTTACTCTAACCCCTTAAAATGCATCCACTGTAAAAAAAAAAAAGCTTTTTTTTTTGTATTTTGTTTTAATTGCACTAAAGCAGTAGAGCTCTGAATAGTTTTTAAAACATATCTGCACAACTTTTTTTTAATATGGTAAGTAAAACTATTCTAAATGGTGAGCAGGGCTGATTGTGCTCCGGAAAAAATCAGGATTTCCGGATTTTTCGCTTGCAGTGATCCGGAAATTTCCGGAGATCGAAGGTCCTGATGTTTAAAAAAATCATTGATCACAGAAGTTTCCGGAAATCAAAATTTCAACGGTGGAACTTGACCACTTTTTTTTTTATTTGTTTGTAAGGGAGAGCCAGATACTTTGTAAGCTTATATTCATGATTAATATTCATTTTCTATCAGTAAATAGTTGTTATAATCATAAACTCAAGAAAGAAAGACTTATTTGTAAATTTTAATTACTTCTCCAGGTCATCATAGGTATGTGTAAAAGTTTAAATATATTTTAAGTAAACAAAGAAATTTTGAGAAAAAGGAAAAAAACTTTGTTTAAATTTTTTTCTAATTTTTCAATTTAAGCAGTTTTTTTTTTTTTTTTTTTAACTCAAGAAATTTTCCGGAATTTCGACTTGGGCTCACAATCACCCCTGGGTGAGGAAAATTAAAAAAATAATGAACGTTTTCTATGTCACTGGGTAAAGTGACACTAGAGCATCTAATTTATTTCCTTAGGATTTACTAAAACATCTTCTATCTTATAGTAAACGTTCTTAACATAGAGGCAGAATTTTTAACCTATCTTTAAATATTTTCAATATTTTTTTTAATCAAAGTTGTTTTGTGGTAGAACATAAAAAATCTAAAATTTTTAATTTAAAAGAAATTAAAAGTTTTGTATTAAATTTTTTATAGTATTATTTTTTTGTAGTTATTATTGATTCTATCACCATTATTATTAAATCTATTAGTATTATGAATCCTATTCTTATTATTATTAATTATATTGCTAATGTTTAAAATTATACTTCAAAATCAGCATTGAGCAAATAGTTAGAAATTCTTTTGGAAATGGTTATTTTTTTTATTACTTGATTTCTCTTGTACCACACAAAATCAAGTGGTTCGGTAATGTCTAATATATTACCTTAACAAAAATTGGTCTTTCGTCTTTTTCATTGCACTTGCAAGTATCTTATAAGGCACAGTTTGCTAAAACACTAACACTCAACAATTTAAGCACACATGAAATTTTTCTATAAATTCTAAAGTAATGCATATGCCAATTATTAAATGACAATTGGCCGAGTGACAATTATTAAATTCTAACGTGCAGAATCCTGTGCCTTGCATTCTGCACGGTACTCGCCATTTTCACTAATGAGCTCGCTCATGCGCAGGATTCCACTTCATTGTGCTTTATGTAAAGACATTTTGAAGTTCCATCCACATTCTGTGTTAGTCTTATCAATAAATTATTTTTCATTAAATAGTTATAGCTGTTTGTAATTGCTATATTCATTTTGAATAACCCTGTATAATTGTAGAGAATAATAAGCCTAGAGTTGCATTCAAATATATGTTCTATCACTGCCTGATAATATTAAAGCTACAATTTAAATTTGCTTTCAGAATGAACTTATATGTGTATAAAACTAGTTTTCCTTGTAGGTGTGATAGCTGTTGAAGGATTACTGTATGTTGTCGGAGGTGATGACGGGTCTTCAAACTTATCTTCTGTTGAGGTTTATTGTCCCAAATCAGATTCCTGGAGCATGTTGCCTTCTTTTATGACTATCGGAAGGAGTTATGCAGGTGTTGCAATCGTTGATAAACCCATGTGAGGAACTTTATGTTTAGGCTCTTACATTAAAACTAACTCTTATCTGTGAAATTAGTGTACATATGTTAATATAAATATGCTTGTATATTTATTTTTTATTTTCATCCTTATACATTTGTGTTTTAAAATTGTAAAAAGTTGTAAAAAAAATTTTGAGAGTGCCACATTGTATCAACGAAACATTTTATTTTAAGTTGATCTTTTGAAAGGCTTAGATTCAAAAGTGGAAGAGTCCAATAAAATTATTGTTATCAAATAAAGTTTGAGGATGTTGTATTGTATCAGCTGCAATCGTCATTTGAAGAGATAAGGTTTAAGAGTGATCAACTAGAAAGAAATTTGAGATATTTTGAAGGGGAAAAAACTTTTGATTATTTTTTATCATCAGTGAGTTGAGAAACGGGAAGAGATAGAAATTTATGATTTTCTGCATTCTGCTTAGAAAACTAGATACTGAATTTCAGAAAAGAAAATTAGATGCAAAAATTTATGAGAAAAGCAGTGTTAAATTTATGAGAAAGATGAGAAAAGCAGTGTTTTCTGATACATGGCTAACGATTCCAAATTAACTATTTGCACACGCGTCTATTTTGTCCTCAAACTATGCCATATTCTGCATGTGGTGGTATTTTGAAACCATCGTTTCATAGCTTTTCTTCAATTTACAACACCATTTATTAATAAACTTTGTAATTAATTTTTAAACTTAGTGCAAAAAATTAACTAGTTTCCAAAGAAAGTGAACCATTTTTTTTCAAGTCATTGTTTCCTTGTGTGATAGCTGATATGTATTTGCAAATTTTCTGTTAAAAAGTAAAATTCAAATATCTTTGAATAAATATTTTTGTCATGCAAAATCTTTTTTCCCCCTGCTTTATAAATTTCAAGTCGTACTGTACTACATATGGAGTCAGTTTTTTTTTTTTCTACTAGGCAATCCATCTAAAATATTCAAATTTTCTTTTTATATATAAAATCTTACTTTTATAAGAATCATTACTGTGACTTTTATCCTACAATTTATCAAAAATCTCCTAAGTTTGTACACGTTTTCCATTTTTTTCAAGTGGTCATGCTATATTTACATATGGAGTCACACTATTTAGTTTTCTTATCTACTAAGCAATCCATCCAAGATGTTCAAATTTTCTATTTAAAAACGTGCATTTATTAAAAGTTATTACTGTAATTTTTCTCTTACAATTTATCAAAAATTTCTATGTTTGTGTATGTTTTCCACATTTTTATGAAAATTGAACCTAACCATTTTTAAATCTAAGCCTAATTTTATGTTTACATTATGTGTTCAAGCATAAATCAGATACAAAACTTGACATTCAGTTTTTTTTAACATTTGTATTAAAGTGTTTACAAAAATATCTTTACCTTTGTGGCAGCTGTTATTAAAGCTGTGAATAAGATGTGAAATTTTTTAAAAAAACAATTGTGATATTAAAAGCGAAAATAATATTTATCTATTGAAAGATTATCTAATAATATTTATTTTTGTTGTGTTTTGTTAAAAAAGTTATAATTTTGTCAGCATGTTGAAATGCTAGTCTTTATTTAGAAATTATAGTTTTATTAAAATAAATTGCACCTTTATTGCACTTACATAGTCATTGCTGTATATTATAAAATTTATTAATTAACACTGAGCATTTAACTTTCCTGTTTAAGAAATCTAGCACAGTATCCTTCATAATGTGTGCTTGGAATTCTTTCTTTTAACAAATTTCAGTTGGTTTAATTTAGTTGTGGCATTTGTTAACAGAAGTTTAGAAATAAAACATTGCTTTCTTTTAAAATTAGTCAAATCTCAGTCGATTGCAAACTCATCATTATAATTTTTTTTAATACTAAGTGAGTAAATAAACAATAACCATGGATATAAAAAAAAATTGTTTCTTCATACTAAAAGATTCTAAACTTGACATAAAACCACTTTTAAGTCTAACTTTACTAAACGTTGTGAATATTATAAAAGTGAAAATTTTAAAAACACAATGAACAATAAAATCTCATAATATACAAAATGCAATTCAACAAAAAATTACAAAACATTTTAATGACCAACAATCATTAGCTATAGGTTCTATGATCTAAGTTAAAATCTAAGTAATTCATTCAACTTTGTATGTGTTATTCCCATATTGAGTTGGAAAACTTAGTCTTCTCTTTAACCTAATTCCAAATTTATGAAGATTATGTACCAATTACAAACAATTTTATTTCATTTGAGACAGAATGTGCTTTAAATGTGTACATTGTATCTCTCAATTTATTTTCCTTATTTGAATTACAATAACATGTATGTAGTATTATGTTTCATAACTCATTATTACTTTTCACAGTTATTTACTGTTATTCAGTTTTAAAAAAATGAATATTTACTTCCTTTTTATTCATTTATTTATATTTACTTTTAAAATTATCTTCATTTTTTAAAAAAGAAAAACGAGGAAACAATGAAATAGCATTTTCTTGATGTATATTTAGAGTAGTTTACATTTAAACAAAACACTGTAAAAGAAACTAAAAATTGTTAACCGAATACATTCAAACTTTATTTTTTAAACATTTTCTCCCTATGCTGGCATATTTCATGATCTGAATTGAAGTCATTACTAATGGATGTCATAATGCTTGATTCTCAATTGCTTGAATTAAAAATATAAAATGAATTTTTGAATTATTATTAAAACCAAAAATGCTTCATGCAGTAAAACATGATTTTGTTTATTGTATATGCAGTAAAACATAATTTTGTTTGTCGTTCAGGGGATATTTGATAATGATATTTTATAAAATGAAAGTTTATAGTACAGGGTGCGTAGTGTTTTTAAGAAGTGCCTTAAGGTGCTTATTTTTGTTTTTTAAAAGCCCTTAAAGGTGCTTTTTTCCATGAATGTTTATAAAAAGAACAATTAAGTTCTTTTTATAAACAACCACATCCCTTTTCCGAAGTGTGATATTTTTCTTTACCATGTTGATTTCCACCACAAATTATGCAAAACGACATTGTCCTTTTTCAACGTTTTCGCAATTAATTCAACCCCAATCTATTTCGGCGTACCACCGATCTGTAGTGTACCATTTGTTTTTCACGTTTGATGAAATACTTGTGGGTCCGCACTTGCGTATACTGAGCTGGATTCAGTGGTAAGGATTTTTGACTCTCGTGTGTAACCCTGCAGCATTTTGAAAGAGATTCTAAATTTCAAACATTTTCCGCCCTCTGTAATAGAATCAAAAAATCTCTCAAATTTTTGCTGATTACGGGGCCCAACTAAACATTGTCAATTTTTTTTTCTATTAGTGATAGAAAATTTCATTTTTCTTGTTAGTTTTATCGTTTGTGACGCTCCATCGTCTTCGCCACTGTAAATAAAACCAATTGTCAAACTAGCCAACCATGTCTAATTATGATACTTTTCAAAGTGCTGAAAAATATTTTTTGAGTGCTTGAAAAGTGCTTATTTTCTGTTGAAAAATTTGGCTACGCATCCTGTAGTAATTTCTATTTCAGAAATGCAAATTAAATAAAAAATAATTGGTAAATGAAATAAGTATAAAATTTATGAGGATAGTTTCAGTAATCTGATTACAGCTCCCAATTTGCCGTTTTTACTCAAATGTGTTTAGTCCTTCTCCATGTTGTCCTTTAAATTTTCCTAAAAGAAAACAATTTATGAAAAAATCATTTTTTATCAAGTTACATTAGTCCTGCCTTTTCTGCTAAAATCGAAAATTAGTAATTTAAGTTTATTTTGTAATTATAAATTAAAAAAATAAGTCTTCAACCATAAACATTTGGCTTCAAACATCTCTATTATAAAAAAAAAGACATTACAAAGTTGCTACTCTAGATTGTTCTGATAAAACTTCAAATTTCTGTTTGCTTGTTTCTTTAGAATTAATCTGCTTTTAATAACCAAACTAACATACAAATTTTGCTGCTTTGAAAGGATAAAAGAAAATCTTTCTGTACTCACATTGTGTTGGATAAAGTGCAGAAATGTTTTTGAGAATAAAGCACATCATTTCCTCTTGTTGAAATACTTGTTATTTATTTGAATATTTTCTCTTTAATATCTTTCCTTTGTTGTATAAATTGTATCTTTTTTTATACATTTTGAATTTATATATTTAGCAAATAAATAAATTTATTAATCTCATGTGTATGATTCATTTCATTCATCTCTCATTAGTACTTTCCAAGCTTAAAATAATTTTTATTTTTTTTTACTGTTATATGAAACAGGTAGTTATGATTTGTTCTGAATTATGTGTAGTCTGCTTTCCTAACTTAAAATATCGTCTGCACTAATTAATTAGTATATTTGAAGTCCCCACCTCAAGCCATTAAGATGGAATCCTAGAACGTGAAGATCCGATCATTAGATCAAAAGTTATTCAGGGTGGTAAGCTCTTTTGGCTCACTGTACAAATTTCCTTCATTTTACGTAAACCACCCGATACAATAAGAAATTTTTCCATCCTGCGTTCCACTATATAATCAAATACTTATTAGAGAAAGTATCTCTTTTTTTTTTTATTAGTTTGCAACATTTCGAACACTGTGGTAAGGTGTTTTGGGTGTTCACCTTAACGTTATATTTTGTTTTTCTGCACAAAATTTATAAGACTTATAGTAAGGTGTATAGAAAAATGTTCAGGGATTAATAAAAAAATAAACCGCCCATAATTATTTCGAGAATAATTAACTGCACAAATTGTTTGAGAAAAATACCATCGCTCTGCAGTTCGCAAGAATGCTACTACAGAGTTAAAATTCGGTATCCTAAAAGGGCCATATTTTGTTTCTGAACTTGACACAAAGTTTATTTATTGCATTTTTTTCGAAATTCTGATTGATACGAAAGTTATCGTAATTCTAAGTGCATATTTTTTCTCTCCTATTTTTGCGTTACGTTACATTTTGCTTTGCTGCTCAAAATCAATAAAATTAAAACCTGAAATTACGAAGGTTTGTACACAAATGTGCCAGGAGCTCAATGAAATGGAAAAAAAATTGATGCGATTATTATTGAACAATTATTAACTGTTTTTGTTAAAATTTGATTCAAGAATTATTAACTGTTTAACTTGCAGTAAAAAAAGTGAAAATATGATCGATCTACAGTCTGCTGAAATGCAACTTCATGTAGAACTACTCTGTAGATGTGTAACTATTCTGCATAATTCAAATTGAACCATTTAGAATTATACTTCAACGAGAGTTTTTTTTTTCTTCCAAAATTCCAATTTGTTCAAAAGTTATAGCAAATACCAGTTTTTTTTTTCTGCTTAAATAATAATTATTTATCCACTGCCATAGAAAAATTTATCTCTCTCAATTTTCTTTTTATAAAGCTCACTCTTGACTTGATGTCAAAAGTAACAAGAAAGAAAAAAAATAAGAGGTTAAATATTGCCAGATATAAATCTTAACATTTAAGTCGAAATTTTTAATAACATGAAAACTGAAGAGAGATTAAAACTGCTCGAACTGTTATATGATATAAGGTTATTGTTATACAGTCAAACCCCGCTATAGTGAACCTTCAAGGGACCGAAATTTCGGTTCGTTATAACCGGGAGTTCACTATATCCGTTACGCAGGCAATTTCACTAATGGTTCCCAAACTCCTCCCTTTTATTACATTATATTCATATAAATGACTGAAAAATATTATGTAGTAGCAAAAAATGTGTTATTTTTCATCACTCTTCGTCTTGCGTACAAATAAAAATTAGTAATCTTTAGCTGATGAGCAATCCTCAACATCAGATATGGAAACACTTCCCGACTCTCAGATAATTTTTCCTGAATTTCTGTTATTTCGCTTTTTGAACCTGTCTAACCTGCCATTCGAGCACATAAAAGTATTTTCTATAGATGGTTTTAAAAATCGGTATATGTAGTTATTTTGAAGTAGAAATTTAAAAATTATTACAAAGAAAATGGAGGGGGAAATCATTCGAAGACAGAAAAAAGTTCATTATAACCAATTTCCTCACTTTTTTGGTTCACTATATCCACTTAAAATAACATTATACGTGTATAGCAAGGCACGGGACCGAAAATTTCGTTCACTATAGCGGGGTTTGACTGTATATTCTACACAAGTAAAATTGCCTCTCATCTATTACTACTCATTGATTGTATCACAGATTCTTTATTCCCAAGTTTAAATTTATTTTCAAGTGCAGTTGATTATTTTTAAAACCCATATATCTTTTCATTTCGTTACGATAAAAGTATTAATAATAAATGAGCTTTCATAAAATTATATATTTTATAAACAATATAAATGGACTTCTAAAAAAAAACTATCAAGATCAAGGCGTAAAAACGGTTTATGCTCATGAAAGCTAATCCTGAAAAACTGCGTACTGACAGGCACTGTTTTTCCACAGCACTGCCCATCTGCTTCGCTGAGTAATAAATCTCTTTTATTAATTTGCCAAAATTTAGTTATTTTCGAAATGCAACAACTAGCAATCCATTCGTAATTTTTGTAAAAAATGGACATTAATCGTTTTTTTCCTTGATCTTCAATAATGAATCAGCAGAAGCAACCAAGAGTGTTGGTGAGCGAAGTAAATATGAGACGGACTCTTCTAGTCATTTATACAATTCTATAAGTTTGAGACACTGGCAATAAACTACAAGACAAAGTTTACACCTTATTAATAAAACTATTGAATGTAGACATATTCCTTTAACTCTTACCCATGGATTACCTGGAAATAATTCGTGCTGGTGAATAAGGGTGTAAGTCAATTGCGGTTTTAACATGGGAAGTTTCAGGGTTATATCCCTATAACGAAGAATTTTTTCCCATTATTTTGTATTGATTTAGGTAAAAATAAGTGAAAAAAATATTATATTTTGCTTTTTAATATTTTTATGGTTATGAAATACAGCATGAAAGACCGTGGTGTCTTCTTCCGCGTTAAAGATAAAATAAGTTTTATGAATTTTCATTTCGTCACTATTCTTAGTTTAACTATCATCAATAAGCACTAAATGACTTAGGATAAAAGTGGTTTTGATTCGCTATTGCAATAAACGAGATCTTTCAGCAAGGATGTTGAATTTTTTTTACATTCTAATAAGTAAGACATCGTTTTATTGGAAATTACTAATATTTGTACGATTTTTTTTTGTACATTTTCATTGCCTATTGAGAAATTTTAAGTTACTATATCAGATACAATAAAGTATTTTCTCTGAGTTAACATGTCTTTTTTACGACAAATTCGAAATTTTGACTAAATATGATCAGTGGGTAGCCCTTATTACAACCTTAACATTAATTTTAATAATCACACCTCTTCTTTTTGCGCAATAGCATGAAAATTTTTCAAAAGGAAAGCAAAGGACATTTATCCTAAGGTGCAAAAAAAGGAAAAATATATATTTTTATTATTTCATTTAATAAACGTCTAAAAAACTTTGAATTGTATAGCATACAAATTCTCACATCATTTTAAAGTATGCAATTTTAAATGGCAAAATACAAAATATCAGTACAATGAGTAAAATAGTTCCAGACTTCAAAAAAAAAAAAAAAAAAAAAAATCGTATACTTAAAAGTTTGATTTGTCAAGAACCGTTCAATTAATTTCGTTCAAATTTTGTATTATGACATTAAGTTGTAATTTTTGGACAGAAATTTAAGTTGGATTATGAATTCTACGTCCAAAAATTACAACTTTTGCAACCCGAATTTTTGTTGAGCATTATAATCAAATGCCCCAATAGGCTCATGTATTATTATTATTGCATAACATAGATGTTATACTTTTCGAAATATAATTTATAAAAACGAAAATACAGCAACAAAGAATCAAGCAAAATAGAAGTAAAAAAAGACAACAGTTCAAAACTTTATTTGCAAATAAAAGACTGTACACAAAATATAACAAATAACAACAAAATGGTCACACAGGTATTAAAATTATTTTATTATTTTTAATTACTCCAATTATGCACTATCAAATGCTCATATAATCACTTCATTAACCTATGCATTCACTCTCAATTGCTGCCTAAAGAATAAAAAACAATAAAACCTAAAATTAAAACCCATTAAAAACTCTATTGAAACCAAAAGATAACAAATAGTTCAAACATGGGTACATTTGATCAATTTTATTTCATAATACATTCATACAAATCGAACTGCTAAATTGATATTTGTACATCAATTAAAAAATAATAATACTAAGACTAGGAAACAAAATTGATTATGAATAAATTAAAGCTATTACTTCTAAAAAGAATAAATATGAAAGTATTTATCATCCCCCCTCTTGCACAAAGTAAATAAAAATTAATTATTTTTAAATGGATATTCACTATTACTTAACTTGAATTACTAGTCATATTTATATATTATAGAAATCATTTTTGCGAAATTAAACTAAACCAAGTTTTATGCAAACAAAATACAGTTGAACAATATTTTGCCACATATTTCGTTTCAGACATAAGATAAATGTTAACAAACCTTAACACATTAACGTTTTTGATAAAAATGAAGCATCTGTTCAAAATGCCTGTTTCAATCGCAAAATACATTAATAGAAGCCGTGACATAATTTTTATATACACATCATAAAAATAAATTGAAAGTTTCCTTTATTTTACTTCTGTGATTTTTCTTCTTCTTCCGACATACAAATAATTACGATTTACTGAAAAATCTTCCAAAAAATCAGATGTTAAACCTTTGTGCATTAAACAATAAAATTATTTATTTCAATGCATTTTCTGCTTGAAGGAAACCTATCTAGCAACTAGAGGATGTTATTGTATGTCCATATATATGCTACAGAACTACATTTTCAATGTGTGTATATTTCATGACTACGACAAAATATACTCCTACAAATTATTATTGGTATTGAAAATGTTTTGGTACATTTGATGTATCTTACAATTTCTGTTTAATATTTAAGAAGAAATGCATTCAAAAAATTAAAAAAAAATATATTAGTTGACTGTAACTTTATAACTAGGAGACAACTAGCTATAAAATGTAGTTAAGTTGGCATTTTAGGAAAAAAAAAAACAGGAAAATTTCTCCAAAATATCAAATGAATGTATGTATGAGACATGCGGAGCTGAAGTGGATTCAGCTATTATATTACAGATTTGAGATAATCAAGGTTAAAATTTATCAACACTAATTGATAATCCTTAAGATTTCAGACAACTTGGATCAGTGTTGCTATAAAAAATATTCACCATTAATATTTATCAGTCTACAACAAAGAAATAGTTTTAAATAAATAATAATAGAAATAATTTAAGAAGAAATAATTTAGGAATAAATCCACTTAAGCATTTAGCAAGCTTCATACACAATATATAGTTAAAAGTAAAGTAATAAACTCTCCCCACAACTTTACAATCATTTATGCATAAATATTTATTAAGTGTATAATATAATCATTTTATTTGGTAGTTGACTCAATTTTTTTTTTTTTAACACATCACTGCTTTATAAAATGTAAAGACTGCAATTAAACATTTCAATAGAGATTAAGCATTGAATAAACTAGTTGTATAATAGGCACTGTATTGCATTTCATAATACAATTTTAATAATCTCAAATACATGTTACAGAAATATATGTTTCAAAAAATACATAATAGCTCCATACATGTGGCAGCAACTAATCTTTTCTTTGCATTTTATATCCATCCAAAGCAGTGCATTTCATTCAAGTGCATGTTGATTTAACATTTTCACAAATCATTCAGTGGAGTGAGAGTTACATACGTAAAGTGTATTTATGACATAAGGGGAGGGACTGTAGCAAAATATCGTCGCTTGTACCAAGGTACCTATAAAAAGATGGCAGGTATGTTTAACATAAAAGCATTTCATAATTGTATGTTTTTTTGGATATGAAGAAAGAAAATAAATTAAAAACATCAGAGCAAAAAAAAATTATTTTTTTTTACAGATTTAAAAAAAGGCTAGATTGGAAAATTTTAATTTTATCACATAGAAAGATCTCATGATTTCAAAAATAGAGCAATATTCATTGAACATAAAGCACACACACAGAAACAGTAATAATAGCAAAAAATAATATCAGGTACATTTTAATACTGCATTTTTAGTAGCATTCATTTATCATCATTCAAGCAACAGTCACTTCAAATTACTAACGGAGCACTGTTGACATTACGGATACCTGGATATCTTCTTAACATATAACAAGTTTAAATAGTATTTTTAGCTTTGACACAAGAGTAACTAAAGTAATAAGAAAACAAGCTTGTAAATAAACAGAATAATCATAATCACTTTTTAAATCAACTGTTACAATCTACTTTACCATTAAAAATATTTAAGTAAAATGAAAACAGTATAGATTATTTTAATTATAATAGTCAAAACTACATTTAAAAAACTGTAAAACAAGAAAACAAAGAAAAAAGCTTACAATTAGAACAGCATTCATGACATTGAAAATATAGATAGAAGTGTTGAAAGGTTTTTAGATAAAAGCTGTAAGCAAATCCATACAGAAAAAGTAAATTAGAGTTCAGTACAGAGAAAAACATTTAAATTAGATCATAATTTAATATTAATTTATTCATGATAGAACATTTAAATTATACTTAAAATAGATAATGGTATTTCAGTTTAAATTTAAAACAATAAAAATCCTTTATCTGTAGATCTGTTACGATTTCAACACACAGAGAAACATTAAAAAATGCTAATTAGTAAAAATTACTCATAAGTAACAGTTGAAATATATAAATTTTTGGGATGTAACTAATATTCCGCACTTTCGTGGAACGTTCCGCTAAAATATTCGACAAAGTATTTTTTAAAATTTTTTGAGGAATTTGAATAGTCCAAAGTCTTAATTTTTTACTATCATTAAAAATAGTTTTTATACATATCTGTTAAATTCTTTGCATACAGCTTACAAATTTAAGTTCTGGAAGATAAATGGAAAAAAGAAATTTGAAGAATTTAAACTAGATTACTTTATACTGAATTGTTTTGCTATTTTTTTTTTTTTAAAAATTTGTTCAATTTCGTTGTTTTCTCAACACTTTTGTTTTAAGAATTTTTTTAGCTGTTTCTTTTTTTACCACAGTGCAGCAATTTCATGGAGCGATTATAGATTTAATTCTTTTATTGCATTATTATTTTATCAGCATTAAAAATACCACAATGTAAAAAAATTGAGATTTTTAGAGTTAAATTTATTTTTAAAACATGAAAAACAATTTAATTTTGGTTTCTATTTAGTTTTTTCTCTTTTAAAAAAAGTTTTGTTTTCATCAACCTTTCTGTTATAACACGGCAAATAATTAGACTTTTTCTTGAAAATACTAGCATTAAAGTTTTGCTTTCAGAACTAAGAGAATTTTCATTTTTTTTAAATGGCTGTCAGTCAAGTTTTTTTATTTATCTTAAATATTTCTTGTGGATTATTATTACTATTTTTTCCTTTTTACCCCATACAGCTAAGTTTAGATTGATTTTCAAATGACTAAATTTTTTTTAATCGAATATTCGAAATTTGGCTAAATTACAATTCGTTACATCCTTTATACATTTGTAACATTTTTTAAAAAAATAATCATCACAGATAAACATATTTCAGTTCAACTACATAAAATTCATAAATATAGTGTAGAAACAATTAGCTTTAAACAGAGAATTTCAAACAATATAGACTTTTAAAATTGTTTTAGTACAAATTTTTCAAGTTAGACATAACAGAAAAAAAAAACTGACAAACTTATTTAGTATATATCACAACAGTAACAAAAATATCACATTCTTGTTGGCATAGCTTCTTCTTAGTTTTAATGTAAAATGTCTTTACTACGAACTGTTTTAAACAAAACACACATATATATTTTTCCTAAAAATGCATACATTGAATAGGTAATTGCAGTTTAGTAAATCAAAAGAAAAAAACTATTTTCACTGACTTAACAAAACTTTTAATAAAAGAGAAGAAAAAAAATTTTTTTTGTTAAATAAATACAATTTATTAAGAAACATGGAAAAATTTCATAATAATTAAACTTAGATAGTTTTAAAATAAATATAACAGCTTTAGAAAGAAAACTGGACGGTAAATTCTCAGTAAAATTTGGCAAGTACATTTCCAATACATTTTAACATAGAAATAAAGCTAAAAAAATAAGAATTTTTTGAAAATTCAGTGACTTTTTCCTGCATGATATCTATATTTTGACAGAGGAAACAACTTTATAAACTTCAATAACATTTTATGATATAAATAGAATGTATAAATATTTACTACATATGCATATAAAATGATAAATATTTAATTGAAAGACAAACAAAGCATTTCAACCTTAACATTGTGTTAATGACAGAAAAGGACATTTCTTATAAAAATATAAGAAGTTTTCAGTGTAAAAATATAAGTTATCAAAACACATATTTTGCTTTTAAAAATCGATTATTTGAATATTTTAAACGAAACTGAAACAAGTAGTGTTCAAATCTACTAAATATTCAATTCCCCTCAAATAACTGTGCTTTCAACATGCTATCACTATTTTTATTTATTTCTTTATAAAAAAAAAAAGAAGAGCAGAACTAAGACTTGCTTAAATTATTAAACAAGAAAGTGCATTACTTCAGTCAAATAAAAAATATCAAACAAAATTACAATTATATTTCAAATTGTCAACTAAGTAAATACAATACATAAATATATATATATTAAATTAATTACTATGTCATTTTTAAATTTTTTTTTTCTAAGACACTGTAATAAGTAAAAAAAAAATAATAAATGTTGAATAAATATGAGTAAATATAACAATCTTTAACAATAAAATTCACAAAGAAAAAAAAATGCACCAAGATTCTTCTCATTAATTTTTTCAAATATGAAAGCCTAATAAATGAAATTACTACTGATACATTCATGCACAGTACAGGGAGAAATAACGATTCACCCTGAATAACTTTTGATCTAATGATTAGATTTTCACACACTATATCTTAATGGTTTTAAGGGGTCACCTGAAATATGCTAATTAGTTTGTGCAGACAATATTTTAGGTTACAAAACTAGACACAAAAACATACTTTTTCCAAATAAACATACCTTTTTTTCGGGGGACGGACTTGGATTCCAGAAACTCAAATTATAGTGGTCAGCAGCATTCTGGGAAATATGGTCCCAAGAGTTTAGTCAGAAAAGCGGTCCAGAGTTTGGACCCCTTAATGCTACTTTTTGCGCATTTGGCCATATTGAGAGAAATTTGTAAACAAATTGAAAATTTTTTGCAGACAATTTTGAAAGGCATACAAATTTTAAAGAATGTAATTTTTTTAATGGTAAAATCGAAAATTTAAACAAAATTGATCAGATAGTTCTTGAGAAAAAGAATTTTTAAAAAAAGTAATATATTTAAAGCTTGATTTCTCAGGAACTTTTCTGCTAATTTCATTCAAATTTGTGTACTTTGTCGTATAAAATTACTTTTTTTTAAAATTATGTAAAAATTTGTATACCAAAGGTACAATTCAAAATTTTTCAACAATTTTTAAGTAAAATAATAAAAAATAATAGCTAAATATAAACAATTTTGGGTCTGGAATTATGTTTGGATATATAAATTTTATAATTATGAACAAATAATGTATTAATTTACTTAAAATTATTTTGAGACAGGGCGAAATATGCAGAAAAAATAAAGTTAAACATTAAGGGTTAAAAGCCTGCACAGCTTTCCTGACCAAACTATTGGACCATATTCTTTCCAGATTAGATTGTGACTGTCCATTATATATTGAAGGCTAAGAATCCAAAAACACAGAAAAAAGTAAGCTTATTCATAGAAAGTATGTTTTTTGTGACAAATTTTACAACTTAAGACTGTGTCTGCACTAATTAGCATATCTGAGACAACTATCTCGAATCATTAAGATTAGAGTCGTAGTATGTGGAAGTTCTGATCATTAGTTTAAAAGTTATTCAGAATGTTTTATTTTTTGCACACAGTACATGCAATTTAAGAAGTAATGGAACAATATAAGCAATGGAAAACAACTTAAGGAAAAATTTTACTTACAAAAAAGATATAAGTCTACATAATATGATACTACCAAAGAATTAAAAAATATGAATGGCGACATAATTTTAAGATATAACATTTTTATATATTGTAAAAATAAATTAATACAATTTAAACAAAAAATTTAAAACTTATTTTATAAAAATAGCTTATGATAAACATAAAAGAAGTACAGAAGAAAATACTACACAAATATGGCAGTCTTGTAACACAAGATTTATATTAAAAAAGTAATACTATATATTCAAAGTAATATATACTGAAAATATTGATTTCAAATAATCAGGGATGATCCATCCTTTAAAATATACATTAAATATATTTTAAATAAAAAAATAATAACATAAATGTAATCAACACGATAGTTCTGCAATAATTTAAATAAATATGCAATAATCTGGCATATTCACCGAAATATACTGTCCTTAAAATTTATAAATAAATTTAAATTGTGCAAAGAAAAAACAAATCACGATGTTAAAAAATAACAACAAAATCAAATAAAAATAATTGGTTATAAATTAAAACAATCTTATGGCTAAAAGAGACCAGGAGAGTTTTTATTAAGCCATTAGACCAGGAGAAACTGGCAAAATCCAGTAGAGTTGGCAGGTATGTCAGAGTAACCAGAGTTTTTGGTTAAATAATTGCACAATAACAAAAGAAAGAAGAATGAAAAATCTAGTTAAAGAACTATAATAAACCATGGTAGATCTTGGCGATAGCCAATTAGCAAAATATTGTTTCACACAAGCAATCTCAGTACAACTGTTTTAGATAATATAAATAGACATGTGTACCAATAATAGGTGAAGTTAAACAGTATTCAAATCCTAGGCATAACATTTTTGATAAGTAAAACTCAATTAGACATAATCGAATATAAATTGTTATTCAATAATATGCAAAACACATTAACTTCTAAAATAATAAGCATATCCTTTTTTTAAAACAGATTTTACCTAATAGAGAATGGTCTATAGCAAATAAAATATTGTAAAACTTAATAAACTGTTCAGATTCAAAACCTTATTAGATATTGTATATTTTCATACATCTTATAATATTTTTTATTTTCACATAAATGAAATTTTTACCAAATGACTTTAAGTAACTTACTGTACAACATTTAGTAAGAAATCACATGAAAAATTATAAGAGTTAATGTTTTGAAATAGATCAGACACAGAATGAGAATAATAATAATAAAAAATAAAAAAAATCAGTGGCAAGCAAAAAAACTAGTGCTAATCACAAACACACAGGCATTCCCATGTGAAAATAAACTAGTTGAAGATTATGTGCTGTATTATTGAAGCCAAACATTCTGAAATAACTTACAGTTAAATTTTAATATGATTAATTTAGTTCAATATGAAAAAAGACGGAATTTTAAAGTTACTTTTACAGAACCATTTGAAAAACACTACAGATACATTGATTAAGTATCTAGAAACTTCATTTTTAGAAAGAATATTTAAAATAATAAGATGGAACAGTATAAGTAGTAAAAAGATGGGATTCTTTTGAATTTCACATTTTAAATCCTGATTTATGTAACACAAACAAAATGCAATAGTCCCTTATTAAATGTATACAATTTTCAGTAAAATAAAAAATAGAACACATACATTACTGTAGCTCCAGAGATTTGATTGCCACTTACTAAGATCCTCTTAACTTTTCGGATAAACCATTTTTTATTTTATTTTTAAATTTGTGCAATGTACATAAAAGCACAATTAACTAACATCTTTTAAACTTTTATCAAATAAAGAGATATGTGCATTATTTGTTAAAAACAAATGCAATAAAATAAAATTCTAATTTTACTTAAAATTAAACAATATGTATTGATGTTTGTCTTACAGGTTAAACTTTTTTCTTCTTCTTAACACTCAATGAGCAATTTTATACTCAAATGAAGAGAAAAAATTACTTCACTTTACAAAAACTTTTAACCGTTCAGTCCTCAACATTTTTATAACATATAATTTTTTTGCAGAGCACCAAAAATAGAAACATCGTAAAATCTACCTTTATAACAAGCAGAAATTTTTCTGCAGGATGTCAAAAGCAAAAATATTCTATGAAACCGGAAGTCAAATAAAAAAATTAAGAACTAAAAATGAAATATTGTAAGGACATAAATAAAAGCAAAGCCTTCCTGCAACAAGCTAAGGAGGGGAGGGAAAGGCTCATGAAATTAAAGATTGTAAAATTTAATGACCATTGCCACGATCATAGTCAGTACTGTGCACTTAACACCCATACATCCCAAACAAGATCACTACTTATCAATCTAAAAAAGTTATCTGTAGTCTTTGATTATTATCTATTTTAATAGCAAATTAAACTAAAAAATCAGGGGATACCACAGATCCTATTTGATTGTAATTGCTGAGTGATTTGACAAAGCAATTTGAGTCTAGAGGGGGAGAAATTAACAATACTTGAGAAATTAAAAATTGTGTAACAAACATTTGTTAGTCTCATTGTTTGAAACAACGATGATTTTTTTTAGCTCCCTTTAAAAATAAACCGATATTTTTAAACTTTCGAGGTTTACATAGCTACTCACACAAAATAAAATTTGAATCATGTGAATAAAATTACTAACTGGCATAAAAAAATGTTTTTAAATGCATAGCTTAAAAACTAAGCACAGCTAAAAACAAAAATTAAGTAATAAAAAAAATCTTTTTTTCTTCAAACAAATGATGAAACAAAACATTAACTACTCAAGAAACTAATAAATAAAATTAAAGATTTTAGTGTAAGAAAGGTTTTAAGTGACACTAGGAAAAAGAGCATAAAATTTAAGAACCTGCTAGGGTCAGCTGTGTGAAGAGGACTATTTTTTTTCTGCTAATTAAAAAAAATATGTTTTCATTAGGAGAATATGTTTCATAGTTCCCAGTTGTTTCCTAAATTTACTAAAATGCTACTTAGAACTTTTTTTCATTATTCTAAAAATTAAGCCTTGAAGTATTTGTGTCACTTTAATTTAAATATGCATGTTATGAGTAAGTATTTTCCTTCCAACAAAAATTTAAACGGTAAGTAAATACAATGTTAATATAATAAAAGTTCACAACCTGTAACATTAAAAAAAATCTGACTATTACATATTCTTAACCAATAAGAGATACCTTAAAAAAACATAAGAGAAAAAAATACACAAAATGTAACAACCATTATTCAAGAACACGAAATGAACAAAATAAATTGCTATTAAGCCAGTCTATTGCATATTAAGCAATAAGAGTTCTCTTAAAAGCATAAGAGGTAGAAATACACAAAATGTAACAAACATTATGCAACAACATACGAAAATAACAAAATAAATCGCTAAAAATATATAAACAGTCAATCTTCAATGTAGTATTACTTAGAAATCTTCCATTATTATAAAGTAACAAATTTTAACAATAAGCAAATTGTTAGCTATATAATAAAATATGGAGCAATAGGAAACTGGATTAGAATGTTTAAAATGCATATATAATAAGGATGACACAGGAAAAAATAAAAAGAGGTAAATTTATCTTCAACAAATTGCTAATTAAATTTGCAAATTAAAGGATAAAGAGAAATTCATAACATGAACACCTGCCTCCTTAAAAATTAAGTTAAAAAAGCTATGCTAACTAACAATTAGGTTGTAGATAAATTAATAGTTCCAAGTCCAAAATGAAATTTCCAGTAAAAATAAAATTTAGCAGATAAGCAATAACCTTTTTTCGTTAAAATTACATTTGTTGAAATGATTTATTGAGTGATTAATTTCCTTTAAAACCTTTAATTAAAAGTTACATAAAATACCACACCCACAAATTAACCTAACACATTAAAATATATATATAATTAAAGAAGAAAATAGTTGTAAATTTCATATTCAAACATTCAATATTTAGTAAAATATGGACAAAAATATGCTCTTTAAAATTATTAAACATTTTTTAAAAACTTTTAATAAAATTTGTACTTATATCACAGACATAAACATGTTTTTATACACAGTATCAAAATGTTAGCGTGCAACAGTTTTGTAAGAAATTCCAATTTACCTGTTACATTGAATTTTGATCACCTAAAGAACTTCCCTCTGTCATCTTTTGGCACATCAGATCTTTGAGTAAGTTCATTCTCAGAATATCTTGATACAGACAAATCAGTTACAACAGTAATATTTGATTTTTTACACTTATTATTTACATCAGTGTCATCATCACTGCTCGTACTAACAAAAGCAGCTTCAACAGCTTTTGGCATTTGAATGATTCGTTTTCGGGGCAAAGTACCCAGTCGCATGTGAACTGGACCCCTTTTCTTTACCTCCAATGCTAAAATAAATAATTATGTTTCAAATAAATTACCTCGGTATATATTATATAACAATAAATTCAATTGCATATACAGGATTACTGAATGAGTTACAAAACTGTATAATGCAAATAAATACTTCTGGTCACAAATTTCTGTATACATAAAAAAATTATAAAGGGCGTTTTTTGTCATTATAACTAAAGCGAAGCATGATTATGGAGTGTTTCTAATAGATTTTATTCCTTTATTGCCACTTTTTTGTTATATGGTAAGACAGACAGAACTAGCAACATTGAAAACTGATTTTCGATATATTTCAGATGATTCTCGATATTTTTTTCCTTCCTGACATTTATTTTTTTCTGTTACTCTTATAACTTTTCTTCCTATCAATGGTCTTATTATGATAGCATTTTTTAAAGAGCATTTCTAATGAACATTATTCCTTTAGGGTCACTTAAAAATTAAGAACGATTTTTGTTTTGGCTCCTATCTAGCTTTTTCTTTCTCAAAAAGATGTAGGCTTTTACAAAAGCTTTTTAAGACGTGGCAATTAAGAGGATTTCTATTCGACTTTAATATTTACTTTTTCTTGAAAATAAAGTAATTGAAAAACTGAAATGTTTAGCTTTAAAATTTTCCTTCAAAAATGAAGATTGATTTTTATTTCTTCTGTTTTGCTTTTGTATACGATCTTTTTCTTTTTTTAAAGCAAATTTATGATAGCGTTGTGTTTTCAAAGCTTTCCTGATAGACATTATCTTTTTTAATGTCTTATGGATAATTATTTTCCCGAAAATATTAATTTTAGCATTGAAGTTTTGTTTTAAGAATTAATAGGATATTTTTTTTTCAACTTTACATTTTTCTTAAAATAGCTATTAGCCTTTTTTTCCCCTTAAATATTTTTTTCTTCTATAGCTCTACAATCCTTTGTGTGTCCTGGCTTGTTCCACAATTCTATCATAAAAAGCCTGTTTTGATTTCGTTTTGCACCACCTTTTACCTTTTCCTTGAGTGGCCTTTGGGTTTAGTTCCAATGGGTGTCCAGTTGATAATCTTTTCCAAGCCATATTTATTGTCTCTCCTCTTTCTGTGTCCAAGCAATGAGAGGTGCTGGGATTTGATAAAGTGGACAATATTTTTTCCAATTATGATCTTCTTGATTTATAGGTTTGACTTAATCCTCCATTTGCCTCTATCATTAATAGGCCCTATTGTATCTTAATATCTAACTACAGTAGGACCTCGATTATCCGAGCTAATTGGGACCGCTAGTACCTCGGATATCGGAAATCTCGGTTAATAGGAACCATGTATAAAAACCTTCCGTGCTTGCGAATTTAACTACTTTTAAAGTATAAAACAATAGAACGTTTTTTAAATGATAAAAATAAACATATATGAACTTATGTTTCACAGCTAAAAAGACTTAAAAAGGAAATCAACTCTAGTAGTAAATTTTAAAAAGTAAAATGGAATTTTTTTTAACTATACTTAGTTAAATTTCGAAAGTCACATTTTCAAAAATAACACAAATCTCAAGAAAATATTGTATTTTTAAAATTTACATGATTACACTTACAAGTCACATGACCACTGTTAACAAAGCAATCATGGATGCTGCCTTCTCAGCGTGTAATATTTCATGGAAGTTGAGTGCTTTTGTGGGGAATAAGTTCCTGTAACACGGACAGCGAACTAATATGTGTATAATTTCTTCCAAGCTCATTTTGGAGAGAAGAAGAAAAAAAATTTAGACTTCGTTATTGCCTCGGTTAACAGAAACCTCGGTTAATCGAAGCTCGGTAAATCGAGGTTCTACTGTACCTCCATTATCTTTCTATTAAAGTTTTTTCCTTTTACCCCTTACCAATAATATTGGTAAGTTATGATTATTTTTCTATAGTGGCTAAACTTATTTCTATGCAAAAAATAATACTTATTAATGATATTCCTTCTTTTTTCTTAAAAAAAAAAGGTTGCTATTCGGCCGGTGAATATCCGGTATTCTGCTAAATTACTATTCATTACATCCCAGCTCTTTATTTTAATTTTTTGAATTTGTCAAATAAGTGTAATTAAAGAGATAGGGCCAGGATAGCCTGGTTGGTAGGGCACTGGGCCCATTACGAAGAGTTTGTGGGTTCGATCCCAGCCGGCTGAAAACTCTCCATGTAGTAAATGGTGACTGATGCACGTTAAATCTGTTGAGTTGCAAAGTCCTCCATGTTCCCATAACAAATCAATACCTCTGGGGGTACTGATACAGGAGTTTCCTTGTCTTCTGGATTGGTTCAAAATTATAAGGCTACAGAGCTGAACATTAGTAGTCGTAAATCCAAAATTGGGTCGCCTGTTCAACGACTCACTTGACAAGTGCCATGCCTTGCGAGCGCGAAGCGCTACCAGTTTCCAAATAGGGCACAAACATATATATTTAGATAAAAACTGATCAAACAAGAGTTTCAACGAATTAAATCAAATGATTGAGATAAAGAAGCAACGGTTAAAAAAATTTACCCTGCTACATAAGATATTTGGATAGGTGACAATAAAAAATATAACCCTTCTAAAGATAAAATAATACTAAAATGTGTAATAGTAATGGGTTCAAGTTTTAATTTAAAACAAATTTTCAATTTAAAAGTGCTGAAAAATATAATTTACAATACAAAATAAAATTCTTGAGTTTTTAAAACTAATTTAACACAATAATTTAAAAATGTGTTTATAATTTAATGGTATTATACTTACAATTATTCAGTGAATCTTTTCCAAGGACTGAGATTTTAAAATTGGGTCTAGGATTCAATTTTATCTCAATACCTTTAGCTTTTTTCACAGAAAATAATTCAGTTCCAGATGATGACAAATTAGGTTTCCGATTAACAGACGATTTCAAACTATTCTGAGTATCAGTGACAACAATTTTGGACTGGACAGGTTGGACCACACTTGAAACAGAACGGTTTCTAATTGGACTTGAGCTTCTGCTGGTGTTCGATGAGCTAGAGCTAGACGAGGAACTTCTATTGCTTTGTGAGCTTGAATGCCTATTCCTACTATGCCTCCTCCTCCTACGCTTTGGGGAATAACTGCGACTTCGACTGCGTTTACTTATCTTCCGATCTTTGCTGACACTACGTTCCCTACTCCAACTTCGACCTTTATTACCATTTGGGTTATGCTCTGCATTTGTTTTATATTTTTTTGGTGAGACTAGATGGCCAGAAACTTCTTTTTTTCTTTTAAGTTCATATCTTAAGTCATTTCTAGAAAGAGAAGCAGTTTTATGTTTGGAGTTTTCTGAAGATTTATTATCATTATCTATGTGATTTCTCAAGTCTTTGAACACATGTGATGTTTCTCTCAGCCTTTCAACAGTTTTTTCTTTCACAACAGATCTTTTAGATTTCTCCTTAACTACATCAAATGTAATTGGCGTGTGTTTACTTTTAGGTTGGAAACTTTTAGGAGGTTCACCATTTTTATGAACAAGATTTGAATCTGCAAGACCATACATTGGTTTATCATCTTTAAGAGATGTAAGATGAGAAGATTGAACATCACCTTTCAAATTATGATTACAATCACTAGAATCAGGAAGACTAGGTTCCTGATGCAAATAGGTATCTGTACTGTTTTGACTGGTTTTAATTTCAACAGGCGAATAAGTAGTTTTTAAAATATTATACACAGATGGCGCTTCACTCTTATCATCCTCTATAGCAGGTTCAGACTCAAAATCTTGAAAACTCAACTGTCGCTCAGAGTTTGACAAATTTGGTGTTAGTTCAGAGTTTACAAAATTTGTTGCTTGTTCAGAGTTTGAACCATTTTGAAGCTTTTCTTCATAATCATTCGTTTCTGCTAGAGACAATAAAGAATGTTCATCTTGTAAAACAGTGTCATTGCTGTAAGAATCATCACTTTCATCATAATCAGAATCACTACTCTCAGACCCCGAACCACGTCTGTTGAATCTTGAAGGTCCTGTAATAAACATATAGAAACAGACATCAAGAAATAGTTCAATATAGAGTAATTTATATGTAGAATTTATTACAAGAAAAATTACTTAATAATAATGCATTTTCCATCATATAATAAAAAGGTTTCAATTTTAAATAAAGATAAAAATGCAAGGTTGGCTGCTTTACATAATGAAGGGTATGTACATTTTACATAATACATGTGATTTAAACTCAAGTATAAGGTGCTTAAATTATATATATTATCTTATTATTATATATATTAATCTTATAACTTTAAAGCAATAAACATGATGAAAAAAAGAATGTTACTAAAACCTGTATTTTGCATTTTTGGAAATTTTTTCTCATTTTCATCAGGCATTTCCTTATTTTAGATTTGGTTAGCAAACAATTAATAATTTGTTTGCTATTTAATAATTTTTTAAAAGAAATTTTTTTGAATATTTTTACTTTTTCTATTGTATGTAACTATGTTCCTACACATAAATTAGTTTTGGTATCAACACATTTTTTAGTCTTTGGTAATTTTAGCTAATAATGTTTATTTCTAACTTTAATGAAATTTTCATCTCATCTCTTTCAATATACATATTTTAATATATGCCTGTAATACACATATCTAATACACATGTATTATGATAAATGTAAAAGTTTTCAAAAAAAAAANTAAAATAACAAAAGCTAATTTAAAAAAAAAAAAAAAAAAAAACTAATATTTACATTGATATTTTTTAGGAAAATTTCATTTCTATTTTAAGATAAATTTTGGCTTTTTTTCAGGATTTCTTCTTCATATTATCAAAATCTGTGCTCTAATAATTGTATACTCATAAAGTACATTAAAATAAGCACATAAATGCAACTGAAATTTAAAAAGAAGCTGAAATTTAGATTCATCATGTCATGGATATTGATAGACAATAAAAATATATTACAATCTTTTGAATACAACAAAATTTTAAGAAAATTTAATGTAACAATTAAGTGACTAAAAATAACATTGAAATTTACCTGTATGCCGTTCTGTACGTGGAGAAGAAGAATCTTCATTAGCTTGTTGACACCACCTATGCTGAGGTAGCAATAATTGAAGAGCATTTTTATTTTCCTGTTGAGGCTTTTCTTTATCAGCCCCAACGGGAGTGATGACAATCAAATTAGATGATCGCTGATTAGGTTTCTAAAATAAAATACAGTAATTAGTCAAAAGTGTGGTAAAATCTTTTTCGCAAAGAAAACTGCAACTAATAAAAAACTATGTAGGTAAAATATTGCATGAATATATGAATAAAAGCATGTTATTAATAAAACACAAAAGAGAAAAAAAATCAAATTTAATATTCATTTACATAATCCTATATTTTATAATCACATTAATTAGTAACAGGTAAGATAAACCTCTTTTGTCTTCTTTGGCAGATTTAATTTTATTATAACATCACCAAAGCTAATTTTAAAATGTTAATAAAAAATTACACAATAGCAGCAATTTTTCATATTTTGTTTATCATTATTTGATTATCTCTTAAGTTGAAGCCTTTGAAAAAAAAAATTTAGTGAGAAACTAAATATAAAGTTTGAGACAAGTCTGAAAGCAAACCTTAATTCTATTCCTTTTTTTCTTGTTTAAAAAAAAAAAAAGAAAACGGAATGACTAATTCTTTAAATAAAATTTACAACTTTTAATTATAAACTAAGTGCTTTCCAAGATATTTCAACCAATTTGTGGTTTTGAATAACTCTTCTAGCCACTTTCTTCAAAATTCTTAATTTCGGTTCTAAGCATGTAACATTGTTTACAAGCAGCCATTTTTGCAAAAAAAAAAAAACCCCACTTCAAGAGTAAAAAAAAGAGAAAATAACAGTTTTCAGACAAGGAAAGTATAATTGATGAATTTATTAAACGCTCTGATGAAAGAAATTTACTCTAGGTTAAGAATGCATGTAGGAAACACTGAGGTGGTTCCCCTATGAGAATGTTTTCATTAGTCTCAATGGAAAGTAATCAGTATTTCACAATTTTGTCGAGCATTGAATACGCTCTGGAGCACATAAGTTTAGAAAAGGTGTTCCAGTCACTCTTTTGATCAGCGAGAAATAAGATGTTTCATGTTGAGCGTTAACGACAAAAGTAATGGTAGTTTGAATCAGGGTTGGCAAGGTTTAGGACAGAATGGATTTAAACCAGGGTTTAAACCGTCCTGTCCAAAACCCTTTCACTCAAATTATGTCACAATCTTATCTGAACAATATTTAAGATAGGGGTGCACAACCTGCGGCCCGCGGGCCAAATGCGGCCCTTCGACTACTGAAGTGCGGCCCGCGAGAGCTTCTAAACACAATAAAAAAAATTTTTAAAAATGGCAATTTTTAATCGCACTTTAAAGTCATCACGTTTTGACGCAATCAATTTTAACAGATTCTTTAGTAAATGTACGTTTAACGCGCTTTCTTGAAGCCGAATTTATCGTAAATATAAATGATTTTTTTTAAACAGTTATTTCCGCTTTTCTACG